TATTACTAAACTTGAAAGATGTATAAATGATATCAAAGCTTGGTCCACTGCTAATGATTTGAAGTTAAATGAGGATAAAACCGAGGTTATACATGTAACATCTCGATTCAGAAAGTCCTCCCATTTACCATCTGTCGAAATTGCTAATGTTCCGATACAACCTGTCAAAAGTGCACGTAACCTTGGTGTCATCTTTGAAAATGATCTTAGGATGGATGATTATATAAAAAATATTTGTCGCTCAGCTTCATATGCCTTGTACAAGATAGGTGGTATTAGAAATTTTCTTGATAAAAAATCTACCGAAACGCTTATACATGCATTTATTACATGCCGTCTTGATCAATGCAACAGCCTTCTTTATGGCCTTCCGGAGTCGCACATTGCAAAACTCCAGAGAATCCAAAACTCTGCTGCCAGGCTTGTAACACGCACACGTTCTTGTGAACACATCACCCCAGTACTTCGCAAATTGCATTGGTTGCCGGTGACGTACCGCATTATGTACAAAATCTTAGTTTTAACTTATAAATGCATTCATGAATTGGCACCAATTTATCTGCAAGAATTAATCGAGGAATACAAACCCTCACGCAATTTACGGTCATCTTCACAATTAAACCTCGTATCTACTTCTGTGTCAACTCTCTCCTATGGTAATCGCTCCTTTCGCAAAGCTTCTGCTGAACTTTGGAACAAATTACCTTTAAATGTAAAAAACTGTCAAACCGTTAACCTATTCAAAACTAGTCTCAAGACACATTTATTCAAAATTGCGTTCGATGATTAATTATCTCTGTTCACTTTGATGTGTATTCCATATGTCTTGTTATTTGTAGGTTTATTTGCATTTTTAGTTTTGTATAAGATGTAATTGTATATCAGTCTATTTTGTGTGTATAGCGCTTAGAGACTTCGGTGGTAAGCGCTTTATAAGTAACGTTTTTATTATTATTATTGTCAATAGTATAATAGTGCCTTGTCTGAACTCCAAGTCTCGTAATATTTTCTATTTTCTAGGTCAAGATTTGGAAGGAACGGATGGGGTGGGGGACTGGTTCTACAGAACCCCCCATGAGAAAGTACAAATGAATGTCTCATATCCATATGTGAATTATTGTGCATGAATACGCCTATTACAATCATTGCTTGAGAAAAGTCTGACTTTGGGGTTGAATTTACATTAAAGTCAGTAATGCCATTCGATTTCCATATCAATTCCAGTAGAAATAATGCACAATGCACACTTACTTATCTGTCACCAATGTTTACATATTATCAATGTCAATAATCTTAAGCTCTCCCTCAAGCATCATATGTATACAGTGTGATAACACTACTCTTGCGTGTACGAACATGCATTTTTATCTTACATTACATACGTAATGAACAAAGAAGTATGAATGCATCTATACATTCTACTGCTCTTATGGTCAGAATACATACACCATGCACTTCAAGTGTAGTGTTTGGAGTTTGAGTGCAAAGTCCTCTAGGGAAAAATTGAAATAAGTACATTATAAGATTTCGTAAAACCTTTGAACCACTTCATGATAGATCCTGAATGAGAGTGGATATAAATAGGCCATCATGTGTATTCACTCTCATGAATGTAGCATTAAAGGGTTCGGGTATCTTTGTCTCGGATTCTAAAGAAAATCCTGGATTTAACTCATGCTGCAATCATAATTCTAAACCTTTAGGTCAGTCAGGAATCCCATGACGTTTACAAGCCGATCAGCCATCTGAAAATTTCAAAAACCGCTTTCCCAACAGTTTTTATAGCACTACAGTCTATTGAGGAAAATGAGTATGGTAAAACTGTTCACTAAAAGATTTTTACTTTTTTGAGGCACTTCATGATCATTTAGAAGCGCAATTTTGTTAGGGCTTCCATATCACACCATATCACAGACACTGATAAATAACACGTAGGACCATGCATCTCACATTTTGCATTGTTAAACAATGCCTTTAATTGTAAATGAGCACATAAACCCACTTTGATAGATGAAGCGTTATTCAATGCCCCACTTCATGTTTCTTTTGTTAATGTAGTAACTATTCATGTTCATATTTCAGCACCTATTGTTCTTAGAGCAGCATAATATTTTCCAAACATTAAAAGCATGATGCAGAATTACTACAGATTGTACATTGTCAATAAATCTAATAGTGCCTTGTCTAAATTCCATGTGAGCTAGTGTGAAAGGTGTAAGTGGAATTCATCTTTTTACTTGGGACAAAGTCTGGAACTTATTAAAGTTTCAATTATTCAAACATATTTGTGGCTTATATTAAAGTTTGTAGCCTGGCTTTGCATTATGGGTGGTACAAGTCCCTGGATGTGTAGATATTTATTTCAGAGAAGAGGTGTTTTTATAATTTATTTTTTTTCTCTCTTTTTTCAGATATCTTGAGGGTGGCATCAAGTCAGGCTTCAAGAAAGTGGACAAGGACAAGTTCGAGAAGAAGATGTACATCGTCAAGGGAAAACGCAACATCAGGGTCAACCAGGTATGAAATCATCCTCTTTCTTTATCCTCTCTTTTAAAATATTTTTTTTAAATTCTTTCTGCAAGGTTCAACAGTTTACATAGTATGATCATGACCATCACGGTAGTAAACACTAGGAGATTACAATCATATATTGAACGAGAATTATACATATACATTTGTAAATAATACAGAAGCATACAGAGGTATGACAATATCAGCTTAATGCTTGAGAGATTGCCACACCTTATCATCTAACAACATATTTTTAAAGTGGTTGAAGAAGAACAAAAACAAAAAGTTTAGCTACTAATAGGCTAACTTAGCTAATATTAAACTACTTCTAAACAACTAACAAATTAAAACTTAATTTAACAAGTTAAATAACTGAAACATAGCATTATTCAATAGATTATTCTGTTTGACCTCTCTGTTCTGCTCTGTTCTCCCATCAACATCATCAGTCTTGATCTTTGTATAAACTTTCAAGAACATTATGTGTGTTGAATGTTAAGAGTGAACTTTGACCCCCTTCATATGCTGTTTACTTGTGTTGTTTTATTTAATAGGTACCATGTAAGTGGGAGAGTCTCAACAATGGGGATGTTTTCATCTTTGACCTTGGTCAGCACATCGTGGTCTGGAACGGTCCACAGTCCAGCAGAACTGAGCGTATGCAGGTCAGTATTGTATGCTTGACCCTTGAAACCTATACAAGCCTTAGGAGACCCAGGAAAACTAAGAGGGGAAACCTATATAAGCTGTATCACTTTACCTACTGTAGCAGCAAAAGAATCTGACTCCATGTTATCTTGCATTTGTTACCTTTCGAGATAACCCAGTGTGATTATGATTTTTTTCTAACAGTGTAATTTCAAAGGGTCAAGCTCGCTGTCCATAAGGACCACCATTCATAAGGACCACTATTCATAAGGACTGTCATCCATAACGCGTGATAAAATGAATATTGGTCTTTTATAAATAGTGGTCCTTATAAATATTGAGCAGACCCCTTTTCAAATGGTTGAAATTATTTTAGACTGTGAAACCATGCAAAAACATGCAAGTTATGTTTACTTCCAGTTTATAAATACATGTACATGTACATTCATCAGATGCTACAATGATAATTGTAGACATGAAAATAATTTTCTATATGTACTTGATATCAAAAGGTTTAAACATTATGCGTAGAGGTAGTTTGGAATCCCATTATTACAACTTTTCTTAGACTAGAGACTGCTGATTCCAGGCGTGGTCTTAAAGCAGGTCTCTTCTACAATAAATCCTTAAATTTAATGTTGCCAATTTACAAACACTACAGGGAACGCAAGCTGCTAAGGGTATCCGTGATGACGAGAGGGGTGGCAAGGCAAGGATTCTCTTTGTCGACGATGACAAGCTTGATGCCGAGACACTGAAGGTCTGTGAAGCCAAGGTTGCTCTTGGTCCCCGTGGTGGCATCAAGCCCCAGGCAGCCAAGGACGATGATGAGAGGTTCTCTAGGAAGCAGGCGGCACAGACCAGGCTCTACAAGTGAGTAGCTTCCTGGGCCCTGTTTCACAAAACTTGTCATCAGTAACAAATGACAGTTTTTGTTATAAGCTACTGAAATCCTTGCTTCTGATTGGTTATAAGCAGATTTGTCACTGGGTTTTGTCATTTGTCATTGAAAAAAGGCTTTGTGAAACGGGTCCTTAGATCCTTAGATGTATATTATATTCCTGGGTGGAGAGAAGCTGCGAAGATGCAATGCCCTTTGATTTGATCCCCTTGTATGCCATCAAGTTTTTATTGAACTTTCACGTGGTACTTTTTGACTCACGATGCTCCTTATATTGTTAAATTAGGTATGAAATATATTCCATGGTAATAAAATTCATGATAAGGGTATGTGTCTATATTTCGGTTTCAGAAAGAAAACAATCAGCCATTTTTAGTCTCAAGACATTGCTCAAATGTTTTTGGTTACAATTATAACCCTTGTGTGAGATTTGTTGCGTATAGCACGGTAAGGGGCAAGCCTGGAGACGATGTTTGAACTTGTTCTAGAGAGAAGGTAAAGTGTTTCAAATGCTATTGAATTGCATTTGTTTAATTCTCCTGGCTCACAGGCCCTGATGACGATTTATGAAATGACAGGTTAAAAATACAAAATTATATTAATATTAACATTTCATCTGTTCTGTGATATGTACCGGTAGCTATCTTTTAAGTCAATTTCTTGTTTTCTTCTATTTTGTTTATTAGGGTTTCTGATGAGAGTGGTTCTCTTGTAGTAACTGAGATCTGCAGTGCTCCACTGGACCAGACCATGCTAAACAGCAACGTAAGTGAATATTCTTATCCTTTTCAACTCATTTCTAGAGTCTATTAGTCCACTTCATTTTACTGCGCAGTGTCATGATTGATTCCCTATGTATAAACAGTACATGTAGTTCTTAATAGATTGTTTATCTTTGACAAGTGCCATTTTGTCACTCAAAATTCAAACTAGCATAGAAGTAGAATAAGTAATGTTGTTGAGTTCTGTACTGTTGTACATGTGTCTTTTTGCTTTTATAATGTTTTTAATAAATTGAAAACAGTCTTTGGAGGCTCCAGTTTCATTCATTTACATTTAATCATGTTGCATGCAATTCCAAGTATTAATAGAGTTTACAAAAATTGATACTTTATTGTAAGTTTTCTAATCATCTTTTTGTTTTCTTTGATCAGGACTGCTTCATCGTGGACCAGGGGCATTGTGGGATCTTCGTCTGGAAGGGGAAGGGCTCCACCAAACAGGAGAGGAAGAGTGCCTTCAGCAATGCTCAGGTATTTATCAGTCGTATTAAACTGTTGATTACTAAGCAAGAGGGAACTTTGGGCTGGAATCAATGCAAAATATGTGTTTTTACCAATATCAAAATATATCCGATGGGGTAATGTTATAACCCACAAGACCAAAGTCGGTCTAGCGAACCTTCTGTTAAGTTGTCAGAAGGCCGAAGAGACCTAGAATGTTGGTCTAGTAACCCTTCTAAAATGTTGTTTGAAGGTCCACAAGACTGAAAAAACTGTTGGTCTTGTGGGCCTTCTGACAACTTTTTCTACCAGACCGACATTGTTGGTCTTACAGGCTGACGGTCTCATGGGTCGTCCGTCTCGTGGCCTGCGAGTCTACTTAGACGCTGGCTAGATATTTTTTAGACTGTAAAGCCTATATGTTTATTACTTTTCCAGGCTTTGGATTTTTTTTGCCCCAGTGCAGTATGGACACTATACATGACAGTATCAATTTCATGAAAATAGTATTTATTTCCATAGAAAAGCATATACAATGTAACAATATAACAATACAGAATAAGATAACAAGGAATCTTTCCTTCACATAGTGAATAGAAATATTATAAAGACGTGAAAATCGTGGCCCAGGACGTTGACATTACTCAGGCAGGGCCTAACATGTAAACATATACATACAAACATATATACTTGTTCTAAGATCATTAGCAGTCAGAAGTATCAGTTATAATATGAAAAATTAATTATGGGGTTCGTTCAGTCTAAAAATATAATAATATTTATGTAATGTAAAACGTAATGGTAAAGTTTAGCGGAGAAGGAGGATGAAGTGGGAAAAGGGAGGAAGAGAGACATAGCAAAGGAGAGAGACGGAGAGAATGAATTTACAACAGATTTCTTGATTGCATCTCACGGAGAATAAGCTGTATCGTATTATACACACATTTGTTATAAAAGTTGACTTATCATTATTTAAAGAGTTCTCATGAATTTTGTAGTAAAAATTTTGGTCATTTGCTTCTAAATAATCACACATTTGAGTTGCTATAAAAGGTACATTGCATAGTTTACATTTATAGTTTATTCATAGTTTACAATTGATGATAAACTCGATTAAATTTAAAATCACTGATTTGTTTGTTGTTGTTAAAAGAATTAATGTCCAAGTATATATTTTGGTAGTTGACAAATACAATTGTAGCATCGAATTTCATTATTTAGTAATTGATTTGATAAAAATTGACACAAAATATACTTTCCAATTTCAATTCAGTCATAGACTTCAAACTATATAATTATATCAGTATATATCAATATCTAACATTCAGCTGTTATATTCGTGTCCTCCTGGTTCCTACACGTATTTTTCACATCTACATGTATAGGCTGTTATTGGAGGAGTGGAGGTAATGTCCATGCTGGGTCTTGTCTTGCATGGAAGATTGAAAATGATGACACTACAGCCATTTTTGAAATTTGATTTGACAGGGTTTTGGCGGTTACGTTTGCGTTAGCCATTTTGATTAGTGATTTAAGTGACTGAAAGTTGTGGTTAGTTAGTAGACCGCGACTCCCGACTTCGAATGCTGTAAGGGATACATCAAAATTGCGGGCCGAAATGTCATGAATCAGGGGGGCATATTTATTACATTTATACTCATGGGCCTTGGAAATATTAAGGTCGAATGGGACAGTTAGTTCAAAGATGAGCAGTTTCTTTTCGTTGGGCCAGTAGAGAACTAGATCGGGTCGGTCAGTTGTTGGTATTACTTCTCGTGGGATAGTTGAGGATGCATGGGCATTGGGCTGATTGAGATCTACTATTATTTCGGGGTTGGGTGTATCGTTTACTGTTGCTTTTGTCTTGGTGAGGGCAGTGTGTATGACGTTAAGTACATTATCATGTCTCCAAGTGTATCGGCCTTGGGTGAGTTGCACGTTACAATAGTTCAGGACGTGCAACAAAGTTTCACGGTTTCCACATAGGTCACATTTATCGGAGACGTTTTTGCCCCAACGTACAAGGTTTGATTTGGTTGGGAGTGTGTCTTCCTACCATATGGTCACTGTTTTGACCATTTGGCCATAGTGATCAGACATAAACAATCACAAGAGACATTTTTTCTTTGCTTAGAACTGAAAAAAGTATATGTAACAATAGTTTACTAAAGCAGTAAATTGCATATTGGGTTGTTGACCACTGCGGGAAAAGAATTCAGTAATATGAGAAACAACAGACTTTCCCTTCAGATTTTAGAAGAGCAAAAGTTATTAAAAGCCAAAGTACTTGCCAATTTGTTGAACCTGCTGCTGCTGCTGCTGCTGCTACATGTTCCTTTGTAGAAAGCCTCTAACTGAAATGAAATGAACTAATCTTCATTGGATTTTTATTGCAATGTTCAGTGTAAGGAGGGAGAGGTATACATAGAACATACATGTGACAGTCATCAACAAGAACATTGAGATTATAGCATTCAAGACTATCTTCTATTAAAAGCTTATTTGTACTAGTTTTTTATAGGAGGGATTAGACCACCCTGCAAGGCCACTGGACAGATGGTTATCTCATCAACTCAACTCTCAATTAACATAAGAAAAAGAGGATCACGGGGGACCAATGGTCACTGATTAGGCATTGTTTTCTGTATAGAGGAAGCAAGTAGCTAAAAGTAGTACCGTGTGGCTTTAAAGGAAGGAAGATACCAAGGGGTTAGAAAAGACATATACTTTAAGTCCAAAGACTCATAAAAGCTTTCTATTGTATTATAATTCAACTTGATGTACAGGGTTTCATCAAGGCCAAGCAGTACCCCGAGAACACACCTGTAACAGTCATCAACGAGAACAGCGAGACTATAGCATTCAAGGCTATCTTCAAGGGATGGAAGGACCCTGGAGATACCAAGGGGCTAGGAAAGACTCATACCACTGGTAACATAGGTAAGGCACGGCATAGTACAGAAAGGATTTAAGATGTAGATGCAACACTGTGTGAAGAAAGTGAAGTAATGGTATCCCATAGATTCTTCTGAGGAAAACATATGATAGTGCTATGTATCAGTTTGCAGAAAGCAAGGATGGGTGAAAGAGAGCAAAAGAGGGCGGGAGGGAGGAAGGTAAAAGAGAGAGAGAGAGAGAGAGAGAGAGAGAGAGAGAGAGAGAGAGGGGGGGGGAGAGAGCGAAAGAGAGAGAGAGAGAGATTAAAAAGAGGGATGTGGAAGATGGGAGGAAGTAAAAAGACGAAGATGAAAATGATAGATACTCAAATGGAAAAGGGGATAAATGAAGTTGATGAAGAAAGGGTGAAACATGAAGGTATAATAAAGTAGATAGGAAAAATGGAACACAGCTAGATCGAGATACATACCGGTATATGTGCTGATAAGCCTTTGTTGTGGCTATCTCATTGAATAACTCTTGATATTAATATTCTCATCCTGCAAATGTTTCGTTTTTCCTATCATTATCAATCTGATCACCATAGCTCATGTAAAGAAGGAGAAGTTTGATGCTAGCTCTCTTCATAAGATCAAGACCTCAGACATAGACTCCAACCCCAATATGGCCTCCCGAACCGGCATGTATGACGACGGATCTGGCAAAATTGAGGTGAGATGTTGGTAAAGTACTATAGGGCCTTGTCTATTTTGAAAGATTAAGGTTTGTCAAGAATCCATACACTGTTTTTGCAATTGATAGCACAACACAGGCCTGTATTCTTCTATGACTACTGTGACTGCTAACATCTATTTCATGTATATTACATTCCTGTAAATTAGCTATATGTACATTTTGATGTTCTTCCTGTATTCTCTTGTTTACAAGTGTGATTTATTTTGCACAATGTTTTTGCTGTGATAGGGGAGGGGGGGGTGGCTATTGAGCAGTGTCTAAAGTTTTTAAGGGGGAGAGGGGGGTTGGACGAAAATGCAAGGAGTCTAGAAATAATTATATTGGTCATCTATTCCTTTTTTTTTTCTCTTGGAAATATTATCAGCACATCTTTGTCCGTCAGTTTTAATGGTTAATGACATAGAACGACACTTTGTGAGCTCTTTGTGATATTCCCAAGTCGCTTATCAAAGATATTTTGCTACTCTCCACTATTAACTCTTATTTTTTCTGTGTTTGTTACCATAGGTGTTCAGGATAGAGAACTTTGAGGCCGTGAAGCAATCCAACGAACTGCAAGGACAGTTCTTCGGTGGGGACTCCTACATCGTCAAGTACACCTACAAGCAGGGTGGCAGGGAGAGATACATCATCTACTACTGGCTGGTAAGATAGATAGCTGGGTGTTATGATGCAGAGGAGTTAAGGATGGAGGGATTGAGGCCAAGGGAATGAGGGAAAAGGGGGAAGGGCAGGAGGGGGAGGATGGAGAATGAAAGGCCACTTTAAAATAAGGATTTAGACTGTAAAAAGAAAAAAACAACAACAAAGATATGAATAAATTGTCAATCAAAACATTTAAGTTCTTGCAATTCTTAATAGTTTTCTATAAATTGTAAAAGTCACTTGTATTACAGTGCTTTTTATATATGCTTTTTAATATGTTTTTTATTAAGTGCAAATTGATCTCAGGGTGTAGGATTATAAAGTACATTTCCTCTTGGAGGTGAGCAATCCCAATTCAAAGATTTCAAAGCTTTACATGCACATCTTTATTTTGTATTTTCTACTTACATTTGAGAATACCATAATCAAAGATGAGTAGATTGAATAAGAAATTGAAAGAATAGTTTTTGGAAGATTACACCATTATACATCATTTACATCACCAACTGCATATCCTCACAAACTGTATATTTATTGGTGTGTTTTGTAGGGTCTCACCTCGTCGAAGGATGAGCAAGGAGCAGCAGCTATCCTCACGACCAAGATGGATGATAAACTAAACGGAGCAGCCGTACAGGTTAGTACGAAACCTAGAATGATTTTTGAGCGTAAAGTGTTTTATCTACATGCATGTGTTGTATTTTTAATCATTGTCATGTGATTAAGTCTACATTGTATCACAGTATTCCTTGCTATAATTACAATACGTTCAATAAAGGCTACGTATGGTCTCTACATGAGAATATTTGAATAACAATATTCTTTTAAGATATCGGTGAAATCTTTATTCCTGGAAATTCTGTCTCAAGTCAGATTTATCGGAGCAATTTTAAGTCATACATGACAGTAAATAAATGGATTGAATTAAAATTACTTCAGTTGGAACAATGGTACTAGTGATCAAGTTTCTGCATGTATGTGTCCTTTACCTGATGTGTATCCTTGTTGGTGGAATGTCATCTGCCCCAACTGTATTCTGTCAAAGATAACAGGTATTAATAATATATGGATTGGCTTAGCATCATGTTGTATGTTATTTGTAGGTTAAGGGTTTGATCTTTGGTCCTTGGTCCTTGATATTAAAGGGGAAGTTCGCCCTGGTATTGAGTTAATTTTAATAGAAGCAGAGAAATGAGAGAAACAGGTCAGTGTAAGTTTGAGCAAAAATCAATCAAAAATAAGAAAGTTATGAATTTTTGAAGGTATGATCAATCAAATACAAATTGGCAACTTTATAATGTATCTTGCGAGGTCTCCTCCTCGCTTTTACCGTGTCATAGCAAACTTCAAAAATTTTGAATCATACATTCACTCTAAATGTAATTATTTCCCCTTTAAGGAAATTAACTAATGTAAGAAATTTATAGAGGAACAATTATTGGCGAGTATGTCATGTTAGCTCTCTGTCACATGATTTTTACTTCTACAGATCCGAGTCGTCCAGGGCAAAGAACCCCAACACTTCCTCCAACTCTTCAAGGGCAAGATGATCATCCACTTGGTAAGTTTCCAAAGATCATCGCAAAATCAAATGTAAATGGGATTTTCTTAATAGTAATACAATTACCTGGGCATCATCTAACGAAAACCTCATAAGTACAAGTTAAAACGCTTGTATTGAAAGTAACACATGATTCAATGGGATGTTGGTGTACTTGTACTTATGATATTTCCCCCCCCCCCCCATATTTTACCCTCCACAGGGATTTTATTTATTTTCCATTTGTTACAAATTAAAAAATATATATTGAAGGTAATTGACATTTATAACATAGATAACATTGACTACTCAAGTACTTATGGTGGTTTTGTGAAACGATGGCCTGGATTGGGATATACTTGAGTCACTTTAATAGAAAATATTTAATCACAATATTATGTTTACTTCGTAGTTCAATATTTGATAAGTCATGGCATGTGAGCAAAATTTGACTTATCTGTACTGTTACATTAACCTTAGTAGAATGACAAAGACAGAAACGAAGTGAATTAGAATATGCAAACTGATTTTATTGCTGTCCATGAAAAACAAATTAGTAGAATAACTTTGAAAAAAATTAGAAATATGCAATTGAATGAAAGAATGATGAAAACAGTAGTTTGATTTTAGATCAATAGGTATGTATAGATGAGTGGAATGAAAAACATGTAGATAGTTCAAGATAAATGAATACAATTTACATGGCGATAGATTGATTGGTAGAGTGATAATTAGTTTAGCAGAATTGATTTATGATAAATGTATGTATCAGATAGAGGAATGACTTTCTTGATTTGATAGTGTGCAGTATTAGTCAAGTAGTATGTGTAGATGTCGAAAGAGAACAATGACAGTATTTGTCTTATGCTGTTGTCTTTTCTTGCAATTTCCCCTGTTTGATGACAATTCATGTTTGCCTTTTTTTTCTACAACTCTTGCATTTATAGAAGAAAAAAATAGAAAAATATATTTTGTTGTATTAACTCTGACTTTTCATTGTTATGTGATTTGTGGTGTTGTTAAATCTGTGTATATGCAATGTTTTTCCAAAGTGTTTTGCATGATTTCCTGTACTCCCCCCCCCCCCCCATCCCCAATTTTGTATTTGCATTGCTTTCTATGTGTCCAATGAAATGATGTTCCCCATCAACTATTGAGTTCTATATCTTCCATGATGTGATTGGAATACACCAAAAATGACTGAAGTCAAAATGAAATTAAAGCTCTGCTAAGAAAAGTTAGAAAAATCATCCTAACTGAATTGTCCTTTCTTTTGAACTTTTCAAACTATGAATTCTAAATGACATTCCTTAAATGAAGTAACAAAGTCCACTTCTTGACATTGTGTATTACTGTATTGGAATGTGTACCATTCTGTTTCACAGGGAGGTTGTGACAGCGGATTTAAGCACGTCGACGAAAACGAGGAAGTACTGAAAATAACTCCAACCATTTCTACCACTAAACAAGGCTCCATGAATTATGTCATGATATTATTTATGCACTGCAGCTCATGAGGCCTTCTTCACTTCATCTTTCCTCATTTATAATATTTAATTTATTTTGTCTTGAAAGGGTCTTTATTTAACCTATAATTCAATTAATCTTGCAAGGTTGCATGATGGCTGTCTTATTGATCAGCAATTATTTTTTGTTCTGGGGAAATAGCAGAGACTGCTTTTGAAGTAATGCAGTATCATTCATTTGATGAAAACATACTTATCTTGTCCATCTTATTGATCTAAAACATGGATGATAATTTTTCTTCAAATTGCTTCATAGGGATATTGTTCACCTTATAATAATATTTTCTTTTAAGGATTTGCAATTATGAACATTGTCTATGAAGTAAGCTCATAAATGGTAATATGCAAGAGATGATATTTACCAAGCAAATTTACTACAATAAGACATTATCATAATAATGCACCCAATACATTAACAAAAAACTCTGATCATGCCAATTCTTAAAGATGCAGGCTACCCAAAGCAAACTTTTATGAGATTGAGACCCTCCTTCATAATAGTAAACAGAAAATACCAAATGCATATATTTTATTTTTGCTTTTACTAATATAGTATTACCAGTACTTCTCAAGTATGGGTCAAATTTCTTATGGGCTTATCATCTGGCTGTTTACCACTACTCATTTCTTGATCTGATATTAAGAAATGGGTCTGTGACTTATCAATATTCTTTAGGGGTGTTTATAGAATGTATGATGTATCATTCTACAAATCAAGGGATCTAGTGACACAAGTCCAGACAAAATAAAAATGAGAACAACCACCATTGTTGAACATATTTCACCTGCAGATATAATCATCGGTCACAGAGTTCAATTTGACATGTAGTTCCAGAAATCGTCTTTGTACAACCAGCCTTTGGTGATCAAAGATTATAGGGCTGAAGATTATTCTGTAATCCCTCTCTCATTAGTGTTGATGTGTACCTTCTAAATATCTGTGTTCTTGCATATTCTCCTCTCTGGTATCCTTCGTTCCTCTCATCCTTTCCTGTTATATTCTGCCCTTCCTCTCCTCCATCATAAATATATAAATGTGTGTGAGGTGTATTATGTGCAACAACAAAAATTAGTAGCCTGTTTGCATTGCATGCTTAAATGCTAGAAAAGTGCTAGACCAAAATACAATACTAATTAGAAAATCTACTTGGTGTCCCATAATGGTATAAACAAATCTTGGCCTGTACTGAAAAAATCTAAAGCTAAAATGTTTCTTCTCCTTTAGAAGTTAAAACATTCATGTTTTTTTTAATTTTATTTTTTTATAATAATTATTTTCCTTAATTCTTCCCAATGGCCTGCTATGATACATGCACTTCAAAGGTCCTTCTTAGTGGATCTAAATTACAAATGCTTGTGAGGTTTATTATGTGCAATGAAAAGATTGTTAGCCTGTTTGCTGTGCCAGCTGAAATGCTAGAAAAGTGCTAGACTAACAAAAAATACTATCCATAAAAAGCTACTTGGTGGCCCAAAATGATGTTAACATGTCTTGGCCTGTACTGATAATCTAAGCAAATTTTTTTTTTCTTCTCCTGTAGAAGTTAAAACATTCATGGTTTTGCTTATTTTTTAAAATTAATTATTATTTTTTTTTAATTCTTGATATGTTGCACTACTTTCCCTGCATTATCTGGGGATAACACTATGGATGTCAAAAATTTCAAGCAATAAGTTGTTTCTTTTATAAATAAAACCATTTCAAATATATATATTCAAAGCACTAAAACAGTCACAACATACACAATATGCACTGTAGTCTAGGCACTTGCCTACAGTGTAGTAGCCTAATATAAGATTATTATATACATTTCAGATCCAAATAACTTATGTCATGTCCTAACATCAATATATTGCTTCATTTCAAATAATAATACATAAAATATTCAGATCAATTATATTATATGGTTCCATGGGAATGATATTTAGAATTAACAATATTTGGCTGGGTATAATATATATATATTTCTTTTTAATTTTGTGCATTGTCATGTATTATTTTGTTTTATTTGTTAGATTGTGTTTGCATGCATGCCTGAATGTGCATGTTCTTAAATGGCCGTAGATAAAAGATAAATAATTTAAAGATATTTTTGTTCAGCATGTCACAGTTGAGGGTTTTGAAGGTTAGTATAAAAGGGAGTGCATGCAATAGTTATGAAGTCAAGTGATGAATCTTACACATTAATATTGAATGTAAATTGTATTGATTTTTGTATTGATTGCAAACAAATTAGAAAGAAAAGATTAGATAGAACGTCATGTCCCTTTTGTACCTGTAGGATAGTAGTTACTAGAAAAAGTGCTTTGATAGGCTTGCTTTTGATAATTCACCGTAGCCTTATTTATCTTATAATCCTGATGTGTCTCCCTTGCTTTCTGTACCAGTTTGTGTACCTATACGTCCATGTACATGTGTAAGTAATGCCAGGACTGTACTTATGTGTACTTGTATTGTAACCTAATTTGTTGTCCCCTCTTACCTCCTGCAGTCTGGGTTTTCAGTAAGGTTTCACCCCTACTTTTAATAATGGGGATTTCCATCTATGTGTGTGTGCTAATGCACTTTTGGACTGTTCCATTTTATTTAAAGGCGGGAAGATCCAGTGGCTTCAAGAACCAGCAGGCAGAGGACAAGAAGGGTAACAGAGTGAGGATGTACCAAGTCAAGGGCACAAACGAATACAACACAAGGGCTGTAGAGGTAAGAACAAGTTTGAGAGTAAGTGAAAGTGAGAGATAGGGACAGCTAGAGGGATGGGGAAAGAGGGAAAGAGGGAGAGTGGGAGAGAGAGGGGGAGGGGGAGACAGAGAGAAAGAGAGAGAAAGAGAAAGAGAGAGGGAGAGAAAGAAAGAGGAAGGAAGAGAGAGAAAGAGAGAGGGAGAGACAAAAAAAAGAAAGAGAGAGAGAGAAATAAAAAGAAAGAAAAAAGACAGGGGAGGGATGGAGAGGGAGGGATGAAGAGGAAAGGAGGGATGAAGAGGAAAGGAGGGATGAAGAGGAAAGGAGGGATGAAGAGGAAAGGAGGGATGAAGAGGAAAGGAGGGATGAAGAGGGAGGGAGGGAGGGAGAACTTTAAAGAGAGAGAGAGAGGGGGATGGCAGAGAGGGAACAGGTTCGCTGATAAAGGCAGTATATATTTGGAAGAAAATAGGAAGATGGACAGGGGTTTTTGGCTACAAGGCAAAGGAAGTGTAGCAGAGAAAGATGTTTAGAAGAGAGTAAATAGGAGATGTTCTGATTTAGGATTAAACCTTTCCCATTTCAAGTACTATATCCCACAGAAATGATACAATACATGTATGGTGTCGGGAGCTGTTACCACTTGTATATTTGTACTTGTACCCCTGTGTATTTGAGCTTTGTGTCTATCATCATTTGTACAGGGACAGTCAAACCTGTCTATAGCGACCGCCCAGGGGAAACGAATAAGGTGGCCTTTGTGGACAGGTGGTCAGTAAAGCAGGTTTGACTGTATATGCAACAAGTCTAACCAATGCAACCAATTGTATCTTTTAGGTTGAGGTCTCGGCTAAGTCACTCAACGCCAATGATATCTTTGTCATTAAGGGACCCAAACAACTCTACATCTGGGCCGGCAAGGTAAGCTAGTACGACAGTGGAAATTAAATCCCCCCTGTGAACTGTCAAAACTTAACTGAAATTGTAACTGCTCAATGTGTAGTTCACCCAAAGTGCATAGAACGAGCCACTATTCCAAGTCTTAACCTTAAGAATCATGGACTTTGTGTGCATTATTTTCAGTCTCATCATTGCCTTTCGTTATGCATTTAGACTTTGGTGCTCTCACATTCCCAGATTTGATGGTATGCGGTTTTAAATATGTATCTTTACTTTACATAGGAATAGAAATGCAGAATATACCCTTTGATAGTCATGATTAAAATTGTTGATATACAAACTGAACATGCCATGTAACAATGATACGTATATGAAAGTCACATTGTCTTTATTTAAAGATGCATGCATATGAAAGTTTATCTTGCTTCCTGGATAAAAAACGTTTGTGATATGAAGTGTATGTCATGGAACATTTAAACAAGAGGTTTATTAGCTTCTGTATACAATCATGCATATGTTGATTTGTTAATTAGATATTCCAATGTTCTCTAAGTTTGTATGATTGTCCTTTGTTGTGTTACAGGGAGGCAGTGGAGATGAGAGGGAACTGGGTAAGAAGGTTGCCAAGGTGCTAGAACCCAAAAGGTATGTTGAATTAGTTACACCAAACATACTGTATATATATATCCATGTACAAATAATCATCTTAAGTTTCTTTAATGTGCATACATAAGGTACACCACTGCTCTTTTAGTCAATTAGATAAAGTGGTGAAGAGATCACATTTTGAGTCAATCCAGCAGTTACTATAGTGTACATACTGTTGTCCTACAGGAGTATAGGACATAATGTGTATGCCTTGAAAGTGACTTTGATGCAAAGTATTGGCAACACCAAACAGCAGTGGAAGAAAATCATTTTTGGAAGTTGATTGCACACTGCACTATATCAGCCTTGATGAAGTAAATGTACAGATAAAGATGACGACAATATATTGAAAAATCAATAAAAAACACAAAATTATAATGTACAGTGTACTTGTAAATCATACATGTATCTTTTATTTGTGTTATTCCACCTGAAGGTGTTTAATTTGTATAATAGATGTCTGCACAAATTATCAGTTGCCTTTACTCCTTTCAAAATGTGAATTGTGTGTATATCATAATACATGACTATGGATATCATTGTATTTCAATTAAAGGAATATTTCTTCCAAAATGTCTCCTTAGTGCGTACACCCTTGTGCCCGAAGAAAAGGAGCCAGCTGAATTCTGGGAAGCGATCGGAGGGAAGCAGGAGTATGCATCCAGCCCACGTCTTCAGGTGAGATCACATGATCTTAAATCGCAAAATCGCAAGCTGTCGCATAAAGCATATAACCGTATGGAGACAATCTTGGGGGGGGGGGGGGGGTGTTTCACAAAGATCAAAGTCGAAGTCAAACTTAACTCTAAGTTGGACTTAAAAATTACGGAGAGCCATTTGTAGCCTTAAAATAAAACATATTCAAAAGCAAAAATTCATGTAATTTAGAATTTTCATAAATTCCACATCAAGAACATGAAATCTTGTTGGTAATAGAATATATGAATGATTTGAATCAACATTTTATGCTTTATAAAATAACTTTTACAAAATATTTTCAAAGATGCTAACGGCTTTCCATAATTGTTAAGTCCGGCAACTTAGAGATAATTTCAACTTAGGATATATTCAACTTCTCTTTATGTATCACATAATTTGCTGATATCGCCATCCAAGTGTAAGGTTCGCCAGTGGTATTGAATTCAGAGATGTAAGACTGGAATGACAGCAAAATGGAATTTCATGACGAGGTTGTGTAAGCAACGTACCAGCATGGGAATAGGACTTGCCAGGGACATTTAATGGCTAAAACCCTTTCCAGTACTTTCAAAATAACAATTGTTCCATCTTCTACAGTTCTAAAATTAAATTACTCTCAAAGAGACAGGTTTCGCTGATCACATACAGTATTTGGTAAGCACAGTTTGCAGAAGATGTAATAATGTGGCTTAGAAATTGATACAAGCCTTTTGAATTCTTCCTGAAGGATTGATGAATATAGTAGTCTCTTGCACAAACAAAAGTAATTGTTAGTTAACAATTGGTTCCAGCTAAAAAGAACAGATAAAATGTGTAGCATAATAACGTAATTGAGAGCAATGTTACAAGAAGCAAGACAATGCGCAAAGAAAAAACAACTTACAATCTAAATTATTAAACTAATTTTCTTAAAAACAATAATACTGATAAATAAATGTAATCATGAATCAATTTCTCTCCAATTTTTGTTGTAGGAAGAGACACCAGCTCACGGTCCTAGGTTGTTCCAATGTTCCAATGCTTCAGGTAACTTTAGGGTAGAGGAGATCAACAATTACACGCAGCAAGACCTCATACAAGATGATGTCATGCTCCTAGATGCTTACAATGAGGTAAGTCAACTTCTCCCAACTATTGTACTTGTATATGAAGAGTTTCATTCCAAAAGGAGCTACATGTAAATCCACTTTGGGTGCTTCTGATTAAATCACCTTTTTTTATTTCTCCACTTTCCCTTTTGGAATGCAACATGATATTGTACCTAAAAATGTTCACACTTCCTGGTGAAATTTTAGAATGTGATATAGTTCATTTTGTCCCCATGTAAGAAATCTTTATTTTAAGACAGAAAACTAAATTTTGATAAAATATGGACTTAGCTCCTTTTGGAATCAAACTCTTCATATGTATGTATGTAAACAAATCTGCCACGGTTTATATTTTGGAAAAATGGTTCCTAATTTGTTATCTGGTACTATGAACCCCAGATCTCTCTTATATTCTGACATATTCTGTGTAGAAGCATATGAAATATACTGGATTCCTATTGTCACTTTCAGAGATTCATATCAGTTGGTTATATTTATGAATTTAATTGGTTTTATATATGAATATCAATATTCAGTGATGGACAAAAGTTTGACCACAAGTGGTTATCTGCCGAACGTCTCCCTCGCTTCTCAAAACAAAGATACCTATCTTTAATAGGATTACTATGGTTTTTTATACAATTATTTGATATTTACTGGTTTTTATCCACTTTGTTTGGATACTTACAGCTATACATCTGGGTCGGTGCTGGTGCAAATGCAGAAGAGAAGAAGCAAATCCTCGGGACAGCGAAGGTAAGTTAACAAATCGCTTTGTATTTGGTTCTGGCATGCAATCATGATTCAATGGGCATCATGAACATGATATTTAATACAGTCCATGTGTATTAAAAGTATAATACAATTATCAGATGTTATTTATATGCCAGGTATAGTATTTTTAAAAGCATTATTAGTACGTTAGAGTTAGATATTTGGTGATAAGATACAATTCTTAACCTGTTGAATATCTGCGAGAATATCCGCTTCAGAGCAATTGTAAATATTTTAAGTATGAACATCAAATCCATGTTCAGTGGATTCAAATAGACTGTAGGATGCATCCGATGTAGGAATATTCTTCCCCTACACGTAGCTTATATGTAGCTTATATGATAAAAATCAAGTGACAAAATCTCATAACTTTTTCCTGTCTAAAATTGTTCAGTTTGCTTTGTATATCATGCTAGGCATTATACTTGAACATGTTTGTCCGATCAGAACATTTTTCTTCTATGGATCACAACAGGTATTTCTATTGATATTCGTGAAGTCATCTTTTAATCTTGAATTGTATTAATGCAAGTTGTTGTACCATTTCCTTGGTATTACAGGAGTACCTCATGACGGATCCCAGCGGCCGTGATCCCGATTCCACACAACTCATCCAGGTCAAGCAGGGCTTTGAACCAGTGCCCTTCACCGGCTGGTTCATGGCATGGGACAACAAATACTTCCAGGTCAGTACCTATGACAATGGCTGTAGTGGGCACTCTCCCCCCCCCCTTTCCTTTTAAATACAGTCAAACCTGTTTATTAAGGCCACCCAAGATAAACAGATAAAGTGGTCACTGTAGACAGGTGGCTTTTCTAGACAGGTTCTACAACACACATATCTCTAAAGAGGAAGACGAAATGCATGGTCATAACACACAGGTGGCCTTTATATACAGATGGCCACTAAGGTCTATTACCATAAGGACCCCATTAAGAGGACCCCTTTTTCCTTTTCAGACCCTATTGAAATATCATATTTTTCAATTTGCATGGCTTATCTGGTCATGGTACATATATGATATTGAATATGTATTTTTCCTTTCATTGGATTTTGTTCATGCTTTGAATGTTCATTGTGTCGAAACTTTAAAAATCAAATCAAATGAATATAGCTTTCCAAGTATGGCTTGTTAGGCATATACCTGGGTATGACAATTTTGTACAATATGTATATCTTACCTGGTGCTCATTGGAACCAGGTGGTCTCTTTAAAGGTAAAGACCAGTATTGGAAACGCCCCAATTTCAAAAAAATGAAATGGAAGCTCTTATTACCAATCATGTGAAAGAATATGTTTGGACTAATACATGATGATAAAAATTTTGCCGGGAAACCGCCTACTAATTGATATATTTGGTAAATTAGTTTATCTACATGGTCTGTGAGAGATAAACGCTTGGTTGCGCACGTGTGCGTATAGTCCCATATACATCTTTCTGTTTACAGTGCTTGTAACTTTACGAAGACTGGGCCAAAATTCTTATCATTTTGATGATTCCAGAACCTTGCAGTACACACCAATACTTATATGCTAGATGATCAACCTTTTCTGATCGATTCCACAACGTTTCTTTCACAATGCAATCGCATGACCATAACTGGTCTTTACCTTTAATATAGGCCCTTGGGAATTTGAAAATTCAGCGATTAACGGGTTGAGACCTCATGCAAATTTTACCCAAGGTACTAAATTGGTGTTACATAAATAAACATTTGTTATTTATATTTGAAATATATATATTTTCAATGTTCATTTCCATGAAATGTGTGTCACGTATTTAATTACATTTTATTTTAGATTTCTTCTTGTTTGTTGTTTCCCTTTTCCTGAACAGAGCATGCAAACAGAGGATCAGATGAGGCAGGAGCTTGCCAAACAGAATGCAGTCGTCGTCATCGACTTGGTAAGAATTGGATGAAATGAAATGTACCAAACCACTAATCATGAGATGATTTAGATAACCTATGTTTACATTTAAAAGGGGTTTTCTGCTCAATCTATACATGTGGCACAAGAACTGTATAGCTGTGTTCTTTTTCTTACAAGAAAGGGGAAGGGAAGGGACTTTTAATTCCCTTTCCTTCTTTTGAAGTTGCTGTTTTTTCATCATTTTCCTTTAACATCCTGTCTTTACTCTTTACTTCAATCTTATCTGTGAAAATATCCATTTACTAACGATCTGACAAGTTATCATGGTGATCAAAGTTACCCAAATCCTGATTATTTTTGTAGAACAGAAAATGCAGGGGAAAATAGAACATTGCAATTGTTCTTTTCTTTTTTGAATGACAAATTCAAGTTCATAGTTTTATATAATACAGACTATACCTGTATAGTACTGATATAATGGCCATAGAATTAGCAGAATACCCATGTACCACACTTGTCACCAGTCATACACTTATATAAATTCAAACTTTTCTGTCCATTACTTGTTTCTTTTTCTTCTTTAGTAGATAATGCAAAGAGCAATCATTAACTGTTTCCATATTCACGCTTAGGCAATATCATGCAGTGTCTTTGTAGCAGGTTTTCAGTTATTGTATAATATACAGCTTTCAATAATGCTTCTAATGCCAAGACTAATTTGGGTCTGTATCTGGTATTGCTGTGAATATATGTATTTCTTCTTTGTAAAACCTAAACATTTTCTCCTCAGCTTATTGTTTGGATAACTTTATTCACTTCAATTAGTGGTAGTAGAACAGTAATTCACATCAATCCAAAATCACTTTCTTCTGAAAATTTATCTTCCAGCAGAAAAAGTGTTTTTAGGAGTCTTCCGATAAGCACTGCTGGAAGGAAAAATCCTTAGAGCACTTTCACTAGAATAATATGCTGTGTACAATTTGCTGGTCTCACTGAGAAAAACGGTGAAAGGCTTCATTATCTCTGGTTCTTTATAAAACTGCTTTCTTTAAAGTAGTCTGTCATTCTAGTAGAGTAATGTGATAATTTAATTATCTGTACTTTTCATTCTGCTCTCAATGTTTACAAAATAGACGCAATACATAGTTCTCTTTATATCATTTCTGCTTTTGTGATTATTTTATTTACCTGGCAGAAACAAATTAAGGTGAGGTTAAACTTTCCTAACCAAATATGGCATGGATGTCAACCTCAAAACTTGATATTTGGAGCATGATTGAGTGATATTCATTGTCTTCATACAAATAAACACAACAACTGCATGGGAAAAAACATTGATATTTTAATATATCAGTCAGGTTTGGCATGATTTATAATATGCATCCTTGACCCAGCGGGATGAATTGTACTGAAACTTGGATAGAAAAGGGTGTTTTGGAGTGGCAATTATGATGCAGGAGAGTGTCATTGATCTAGAAAATGAACATATTGGGTATCATTTCTAGAGAGGTTCACAAATACACATTTACATTTTCAAAGATAATTCCTTATTCAGTAATTTCTATCTAATATAATGACTGATGCAGACACATTTCAATGCCTGGATTGATTAAAATTGATTCCTTCTCTTAATTTAGGAATATTATTCCAACAATAGCGCTTTAGAATGGGTTCAAAACTTAACCATGATAACAAATCTACATGCTTATTTGCTCTATTTTACATTGTGCAATCAAGAGATTGATACATGTACTTAGTATTCATATTTATTTTTTGTTTACACTTAATCAAAAGTGTTCATCTTTTTTCTTCTTCGTCCAGTGTGTGCAGTAACTAACTTTCCCTGTGTTAATACTATGTTTACAAAATCATTTCATTTACTACCCATCCTGCCAGTACCTTTCTTAAAATATTGATGCACTGTATTTACCAACACTTTTCCCTTTGTTTGATGTATGCCTTTGCCTTTCATTGAGATATATCACTTATCATTTATCCATTCATTAGTCATCCTTTCATTATTTTCTCATACAATTTTATATCCTGTTTTGATAAAGTTTTATTTTAAATTCATATGCTTCCTAGCCTGTTTTTACCATTTTCAAATGTTTTTATACTGTTTTCACCCCTATGTTTAATCCTTTGTTCCTTCGTTCCTTCGTTCCTTTATCTTTCATTATGAATCATCATTTATCCCTCTATCATTTATCATTTTTCACTCATTGCTGTGACAAGTGTGTACTCCTGTTTTCATCCATGCACTGACCTTCCATTTCACTGTTTGCTGGTCACTCATCCTTCACCTTTAACCTTTCATCGTCACGTGGTACCCTGTGACCCTTAACCTTTGACCTCAGGTGGAGGATTAGGAAAATGATGTGTGGTTGATTAAGTTGACGCCGCCATGACGAGGTACGGTGTGCATTATTGTACCTAAAGAGTACATGATGATAAAAACCTGTCAGGTATGCTCCCTAAAACCTTTTATATCAGTTATAATGATTGTAATGAACAGAGAATAGTGACCTTATATGGCCAACCTTCTTCTATTTTAAAGATTAGCCAAAGAAACGTTTGTAACAACAAACTGAAGTCTTCTACTTTTTCTGATCATGCCTTGTTTCCACGTCTAGGGCTGAATCTAGATAGCCATTCAATTTGTTGTTTTAAATAAAAAGCTAAGATCATGAATTACAATACGGTATCTATTTAAAGTGGTTTGTTGTAGAAACATATTAAAGGAAGTGAAGCGATTTTTTGTATTGAAAGGACCTTTGAACTGAAACAAAAAATATATAAACACTCAACCCCCATACATTTCAATCGGTTTGGCCTTTTTAAACATATGGGTAATAACAAATTGGGTATAAAAAGGTGGAGTAACATGTCAATGTCATTTTTAGAAATTAATTGTGAATATTTCCTTGTCTCTAATCATCCAAAGTCCTATAACTACACCCTTTGTCACTTATTGTTTGTGCTAAACTAACCTTGATATCTTTATTGTATATTTCATATTTTATATTTACTAACGCTGCATTATCTGTAAGGTGACAAAAGTTCAGGATCATTTGTGTCTTTATTCATGTTCTAACTTGCATTACTTTTTTTATTGTGTGCAGAAGTGTGTATTCTTACAAATGCTTTATACAGGTGTATCATATTTTCATAATATTTCATGATTCATTATGTTCATGTTTTTTTTATGTCAATAATATCCAACTAGGTAATTATTTCTTTAAAAAACATTTCAGAAAATTCATACATGTATTATTCTTTACAGATTGTGTATGAATAATTTTTAAAAAATTGCAAGTAATTTTTGGCCTGATGAAAACTTTGTAATGCCTTGTATTTTTAAAATTTAAATCAGACTGGTCAGAGTCTGGACATAAACAAAAAAATATAATGATGAAATTTCATAACTCCTGTACATCGAATTCTAAAATACAGTTCAGACATCAAATTATACAAAGTACAATGGAAGGTAAATTTTGCAACGTTGAGCCGATACCAATCAACATTATTGTAGGTTTCTGTTGTACATCTTGGCTTCAATTTCAGCTGATTGACATTCTCTCTCTCTCTGTCTCTCTCTCTTTCTGATGGATACAGAAAGCGGCAGAAGAACAAGAAGACAGCTTTGAGAACTGTCCCAAGTTCACCCTCGCTGAACTACAGGCCAAGGAAGTCCCAGAAGGAGTCGTTTCTGGCAAGAAAGAGGTAAGGAATAACCATATATACAGCACCCTCTATATAGTAAGCAATGCCTAAGCAGTACCTGTTGGTCCCCCATGGTCCCCTTTTTCTTATGTTAATTGAGAGGTGATTTGATGAGATAGCCACCTGTCGGTGACCAGGCAGGGAGGTCTAATCCCTCCTAGCCAAACTAGTGCAGATAGGCTTTAAGACCTCAAATATCCTTCAAAATTGCCCTAAATGTCAGTCAGACTTTACACTACTGGAGCTCCACAATTCGTATGCAGATAGTGAAACAAGGAATCCGTCATATATATCAATGTACAGATTCGTCGGATCATAAAAATTACAACAAATTATTACCCCAGAATTTGGATGGCTCCGATTATGATGCTCTAGCATTTCAAGGATTGACTCAAGCCAGGTAACCATTGGCCTCACCCGGGTCAATTGTGGCAAATGTATAATTATGTCTTGTCAAAGAACATTGATGCCGCAGCGGTATTAGAACCGTAAACCTTATGATCCACAGCCAAGTCTGGTGACGTATCCACCAGACCATGGCTCCTCCACAACTCCTTTCCAATTAAATGACTGATCAAAGCCCTTTACAGTGTATCGTCACCCCAGTCATTAGATTCAATTTCAATTTTTCCACCGAGAGTGAACATTCTCCACTCCATTTGGGAGTATTCCAGTCTGACAGCCATTTTGTAGATGCACATGCAACTATGTGGCTGGATTCATTTATCACGTTGGGGAGAGAAGCAATGAAGATGAAATGCCTTGCTTTAAAGGACATACATGTATGTACATGTACTCTAGTTGCCGTGTCAGGGTTGAAGCCCACAACCTGTGCACCCCCAGTCCAGTAATAGAACCACTGTAATATTACACCTCTACAATAAATGTAGTTGGTATTCAAAGCTTCATATTATATGTTTCTCTATCTCTCTCTCTCTCTTTCCCTCTCTGTCTCTCTCTCTGTCTCTCTCTCTCTCTCTGTCTCTCTCTCTGTTTCTCTATCTCTCTGTCTCTTACTTTCTATGTTTCCCTCTCTCTTTATCTCTGCAGAAACATCTGTCAAAGGAAGACTTTCAGAAGCTCTTTGGCATGCCTTACGAGAAATACGCAACAATTCCCAAGTGGAAACAGGACAACTTGAAAAAGAAGGCTGGAGTGTATTAGTAGGTGTGTCCCTGCAAACATTCAGTGTATATGTAGATTATGTTTTTTCTTACACGTATAGGCAAGATGAACTCTTTTAATATATATGAAGTGTGAGTCAAATCCTTAAACCCATCTTTCAGTCGAGTAGTGCCTGGATGATGATGCAATGGGATTTCAAGGTTAGAGGGTTTGTGTAACACCATCGGGTTGTAGAAAGAATGAGGCTTTTGTTGTATTTGTTGTATCCTTATGCCCACCTTTCAGTTGTGCTTTCAGCTACTCAGTGTAGAAAGTAGACATCTAGCTTAGAAGGTGATCTTCACAACATTAGAGAGATGTTTCATTTGCTGTAATTCATTTCAGGTGCCCATGTGTGGTACCAAGCAATTAATGGACCAGAAAGAAAAAAAAATGTGTAATTTGTAAGAAACTGGAGATTTGTTTAAAGTAATGACATGCTGTTGTTTGGGTGATACAAATAACCTTGACAAATGTTATGTAGCAAACACAAAGTGAACCCATAAATTTGTATATGTACTGTATGAGTAATATATAGATTGGTAAAAAGAATGTGCAGGAGAGTAGATCAATGGTTTTATGAACATATATCACTGAACCAGAAAAATATATTGTTCAGATGTTAGGAAAAAAAGAAATGCTACTTAAAAAGTTGTTCGTCCAGTCTTTCATATAAATGCGTATTAATAAACAAAACCACCTAAAAGCTTGATAGAAGTAGATAATTATGCATTAGGTTATAAAATATTAGTTATGTGCTGCAGCAAACCTATAGTCATATAATGAAGTCATATAGTTTGTTTTGAGTTTAAAAACTCTGCTAACATAGATGATATTATTTTTAGATGATGACATTATTTTTTATTCAGTTGTGTATCCGACTGTGTGCCTGTGCTGTGTATATTTCAGTTTTATGTTTTTCATTTTTCGTTTTTCTTTGCTTTATATGTTTGTCAGTTTTCTTCAAATGTATCATCATGGTAATCAAATAAAACAGTATCAAACGAGACATGATGAAAGTAAATAATGTAAGATGTAGTATCTGCTAGGATATACAAACGTGCATCTTATTTTCATTCAGGTTCTTAGAAACAAAATCTGTATTGGTACATGTTTTATATGTAAACAGGTAATAAATGGAAAGAACTTATAATGCTAATTAAAATAACCTTGTTCACAACTTAAAAAATATAGCAACTTATATTTAGAGATATTCAATTACAGATGTTATATGGGGTCTTTCATATAAAAACTTCAAATTAAGTGCCATTTTTTATCAAATACAATATTGAATAATGACATAAAGTCATAAAAGTATACAGATGAATTTTAAAAGAGAGAAATTTATATATATATATATATTTACACTGCATACCTTGGAAAAATAGTGGCTATCAAATTCATTTACGAATCATGAATATGAAAATTCAATCATTTATACAATCAATCTTTTGTACTTGTTTGTAATCTTTCTGTCGACTGAAATCAATATCTCTGTTCCCACTGGTGTTTTAAACTGATTTCTGTGGTGCGCAACCTCTTTTTCATTGTGGTCTCAATAGCAACAGCCTGTTTAAGCAACAGTATTTGCACCAATGAGAACAGGACTCTGTATCTTTACCTGTGTTGTTGTATCGATCTCTGAATTTTTCACCAGTTTCCTCAAACATGTTGTTTAATAAAAGAAAGATGAGGTGCTTCTTGTGAGAATTTTTTGATGAAATCTTGTTGGAGCACACTGAAATAGCTATTATATACTCAAAAAAAATACTACTGGGTTCCTTTCAGCATTATGGGTGAATAGAAACAAAACTAGATAGTTTCTATCCAGTCCTCTGTGAGAATGAAGAGGAGTTCTCCAGCTGGACTTGGCTATTGTCTCAATCAAAACCGTGCTATTTTTCTTTTTCATTTACGAAAACAAATCTTATTAACAACCATGCCATGTAATCAGTTATGAGAGAGGTTATCTACAAATTAAGTTTGTACCTCTTTATTGTATTATGTTGGAATATGTTAAGGGAATAGGGGCAATGAGAAACAAATGTCTTGGTATAATCGTAAAAAAGAGGTGTGCATATTGATTTTGAATAGACTGTTATTGCACTTATAAATCATGTTGATATATTGAGTAAAGGTGAAGTAATGGAGTAAGTATACACAGATGCAGATGGTTACAGTATAAAATGCCAGTAACCGAGTAGATAAAAACCTGTAACAGTTCAACCATGTTATCATTGTTATGAGGTTTTGTTTAGGTATTGTTTTTCTTTGTCTGTATGTCTCTCTCGCAAACTTGTGAATTGGGATTCTGTCCTGCTGATATTCATGTAAATGGATTTTGATTGGGGCTAGCTTTATGGAAGCTGATATCATGATTAAATTTCATTCAATGAATATATATTTGTTACCGTCACAAGTGCCATAGTGGTTTTTTAGGAATGTAACTAACATAACGAAAAACAAGGACAATCGATGGTTGCACTGTACCATGTCTTTTGGGGAAGTGGTAAATAAAAACAACGACAATCCATCACCATGAGTATTTGTGAATGTCATTTTTTTTATTCCTACTCCTACAGTTATCGTCTGTTGAGAGCCAGAAAGGCGTTAACTCTGTGTTAAAGTACAGGGGTGTGTTTCACAAAGATCCTTAGTTGAACTTATCTCTAAGTTGGACTTAACAAATATGGAAAGCCATTAGTATGTTTGAAAATATTTTGTAAAAGTTATTTTAAAGGACATAAAATGTTGATTGAAATCATTCATATATTCTATCGTCAAGGAGATTTCATGCTCTTGAAGAGAAATTTATGATAAGTCTAAAATACTTGAGTTTTTGCTTTTGAATATATTTTATTCTAAGACTACGAATGGCTCTCCATAATTTTTAAGTCCAACTTAGAGTTAAGTTCGACTTAGGATGTTTGTGAAACACCCCCCAGGAGTAATAATGCCCTTCTGCCTCTCACCAACCGACATTAAGTGTTTGACTCCAGTTAAAAGGATGGGGAGAAGAGAGAGAGAGAAATGGGGGGGGGGGGGGGGGGGGGGGGTGGTGATGATAGGACAAGTGACTGGGTAAAAATGAATAGGAGAAAGAAGGGTCGAGAGGGGAGTGTATGATTAATGCAGAGAAAGGTGGTAGAAAAGTGGGAAAAGGGAGAGGAATTCCTACACATTAACGTGTGGTGGAGGAAGAGGATGTGGGGTAATAATGGTAGTACATGTACCAAGAACGGTCATTATAGAGGAGCAGGCCCGTAGCCAGGGGGGGGGGGGGGGAGATCGGTTGAACTTGTTTAGACCCCTCCCCAGGACGATCGATTTATGTGACCCCCCCCCCCCCCCCCCCCCAACATCAAACCCTGGCTACGGCCCTGTAGAGGAGAGGAGAGGGAGAGACAGAGAAAGGGAAAGAGAGAGAATGAAACATTTTTTTATTGTTATGCCCACTTGCATCAGGGAATGGATAGGCCCGTATGCCTGTTAATACGTTTTGGGATATTTTCATTGGAGCCTCTCCTGTTTATCCGAGATCCCAAGTGGATCCTAAGCTCTACTATGGGTGAGCACCACCTAAACATCTTGCACGTTACCAACAGATTTAAGCAAATTAACCTAGTAAATGTGCACGAGCGTAGTTTTTCTAGGCCGAGGAGGAAAATTGATACTTGACCTGCATATTCTTGGCCAACAGTGGTTTAGCTATAGAGAAGCATGATTCCACCCCCCCCCCCCACACCAGTTGATTCCGTCTTTCCCCTAGAATGGAAGACAACAAATACAAATGGAATAAGAGGGAGGGAGACGGGATATGAAGGTGGAAACATGATTGTAAGACCACCTCTTGCACCTGTTCAGTAGTCTTGTTCCTCTAAATGTTTTCCAACTTAAACGCCCCCCCCCATCCCATCGTGATCGATGCCCCCCCCCCCCCCTTTATGCCAGTGCCCCTTCAATAGCTGACTGGCCTCACTACGTCACTGTTCACTGCTCATCCCCAAAGCCTCTCAAATTACCAGACATTCATGAGCTGTATTAGGCATGTATATACTCGAAGTTATAAACAACGATCGCTCCATTGTAACAACGACGAGGGCTTACACGGGACCCAAACAACAATATTTCACGGTTAACTAAAAAGCGAGTGTAAGAATTTATTTTAACTACAAAGCTGGCACAACTACGCATTTAATTGCGTCCACACGGCACATAATCTTCAAGTGAGGATCCCCGCTCCCAAACGTCATTCATGCGTCATAATGTGGAACACAGCAAGACAATGTGCGTTATGAACTTACAATAAAGGGGCTAGAATATAAGATGTAAGGTTTGAACAGCAAACTGGGCCAGGCTATTTGGGCAAATTAATATCTCTATCCATATGATATTAACGCGTGGGAGTATAGTCCAGACGAAGTGAACTATGTAATCCTTGGGTTTACCGGGGTCATAGAATTGATGAGAATAACACGATTTTCTCATTTTATCCCACTTTTTCTGACTTCACAGAAATTTTCCATAAACTATTTAAGATTCTTGAATCGGGGCAGAGAATACGCCTCTTTTCCACCTAAATAATCCGTACCCACATCTTCTAATGGCGTAGCCAGTATTGGGCGGTGGCTGGTGAACCCCCGTCCCTCCCTGTTAGGCAGTTACATTTTTTTAATGGAGCCACAGGCTAGTTTTTGACACCCTATACTGTCAAGGTAATATTCCTCCCCTTTTATCCTATTTTTCTGGATGCGCCACTGTCCTTTGTTTTGTTGCATGTTTTTATGTGCACTACATGAACGGCTAGTGTGCATGAAAAAGAACAATGGTCCTATGTGTAATCATATTTACTTATGACATAGTGCAGTAAGCACGTCAAACACCAAACAAAACAGAGACAAAACAAATAATGAACAAAAAAACTACAAAATATATGTTTTTATTCTGTTTATTTATTTTTTAAATAGTATTTATAGAATTAAAGAAGACGACGAAGAAAAAGGTGTTAGCAAGCCTGCAATCAGAGTAAAACCTAAGGTTAGCTTATATTGATGAAGTAACGATATCAACTTCCATGCGCCGACTAACTTTTAGCCAATCACATATCGGTGTTTCACGCAAGGTATAAAACATAGCATATCGATGACGAATCCATAAAAAAAAATACTGAGAAGGCGTATGTTTACAAAAATTATCTCCTCTTTTATGTTTGCCATGTAAGGAGCTCATTCTTTTATCTAAAGAACTCCTATTTGGATGCTAAGATAATTTTCTCGCCTACCGAACATTTGTCGGATACTTAATGTTAGTCGAACACCTTGCGCTAGTATAGGACGCAAGTCACTATTGCAAAGAAGGCGAAAATGTGTCCGATTTGGTTGCCGAAGAGGAGGAGGAGGAAAAGGAGGATAGTGAAGAGGATGAAGATTGGATGGAAGATTGGATGACTGAGTCCACAATGTCCTCCCAAGATCCTGGCGATGAGGAGAACAATGACGAGATTTGGTGGATGATGATAGAGGATGAGCTAGAGGACGAGGAGTATTGACAGCGATTTTTGGATGTTTTCAAAGAATATACTATGTTGCAAAAGAGAGTCCTGGCCAAATATACTTTAATACCTGTCGTTGTTTTCTTCAACTCGAATTTCCTACTTCTTTGAAAGGTATCATCGGTTTCTTATTGTCGAGCCTTACTACATTACAATCAGGATTATGTTATTCCGGAAACGCATCGATTGCTCCTTTATCATAATCTGTAAATTGATATAACGCGATCTTTGGACCGTGACTTCAGTAGAACAACCATTGTGATTGTGCCTCAAAAATAAATACTCCCGTATTACTCATAGACGGAACCCTACACCAGACCCATTATTTGAGGGTACTTAGCAGAGACAGAGAAACTCTTTAGTCTAGCTATAAGTGCCCGTTAATATTGACTTGGTTGATACAAGCCTTTTGGATCGTTATGATAAATAGATTCCAACGGCGACAAATTACAGGCATTAACATTTCAGTGTCGTGAGACAAAATATTATACATTTTTCATAAAATGCGATTATTCATGCAGTGATAATCACTTAAAACTGTTAAACTGATTTCTGTGTTTGAGTTTGAATCAAGAAAATGAGACTTATGAGAATGACTAGAATATGAATATGAAGACAGAAGAATGTTCAACTGGAAATTTGCTTTGGCCATGCCTGAAAACCTATACAACATCTCATACAATAATAACATGGTTGAAATGTTACAGGTTTTCATCTACTCTTGTTAAAGGCATTTTATACTGTAACCATCTGCATCTGTGTATACTTAAATATATCTCAGTCGCTTACAAAACATTTGGGAAAGATGATTAACATTTAAGTTGGTATAGGAGATATATATATATATATATATATATATATATATGTTCATCTCTTGTTTCTTTCAAGTTGTATTTACGCCTTACTAAGATTAGGCACTTACAAATACATCAAATATTTGGCTGGGTGATGTTTTCTTCTTCTCTCTTTTGTACTTAATTGTTGTCTTGCTGTCAATAGCACTTGATTGATTCTGTATCAGGACCCCCCCCCCCCTCCAAAAAAAGGAAAATATATCATATAGGTATCGTTAACAGATGTGTTCTTCAGCATGGCAAATTTACTGTCATGTGTATTTAAAAATAGGCTAGTCATAACTGACTCTTTCCGCTACCGTCCTTACCTTGGTATACTGATAGGCTGCACTTTTTAAAAGTTTTTCCCACACTTTCATAGTTTTTCCCACGCTCCAAATCATTTTGTCCGACATGAATTAAATATAAATGCCTCACACATAAAGTTTCATTTTCTAGATATTAGAGACAGTTAATTAGTGTAAATTCCATCATCATGGAAAGGTTTTTGCAGATGTGGTTGCTATAGAATTGTTGTAATAATGCAAGAAATCATCATTTCTAATTTAGATTTTCGAGGCAAGCATCATAATCATTATATACAGACATAACAGTTTCACGCGCATGATACGTTTAAAGGGCCATACCATATTGTTATCTATAATATCAAGTTATCAACTTTTCGCGATCGCGAAGACTTTCGAGAAATAAAACTGCAATGTCAATGGCCTTGTCCATCTCCTATTGAAACGTTCGAACAGTACAATGACATGTTACATAATCTGAACTTGAATTCTACATAATATAGACAATGCAATAATGTATTCAAATTGTCCATGAGCTGATTTCTTAAAAGTCCTTGCTATAATCATGTTATTAAGATCATCCATGCCGACACATAAATGCGTATTTCATAACAACGAATTTACTCGAAAGTACCAACGTTATGGACTATGAAAATAGCAGTTTATTAGATATAAAATCATCTTGCCTATATAATGGATTCGAAAGCGATACATGTATTTAGTGGTTTTGTGTAAACGATAGAACTATAGATTAAAAAGTCGAAACAATTGTACTGATTCGTATTTTAGGACTGAAACTCGGAACTGTGTAACGCGATTCTTTCGAAAATCATACATATTTCCATGAGGAATTAGACCATGAATTGAAAATCAAAAAGAGACAAATATGCTAAATAAATTCCAATTAATTGAAAATAGTTTCGTTATCTTTTATCCTTGTTACGGACACCTGTTCGCCTTTGAATTCGATGACAGGTGTAACAACTGTACTTATTTTTTGGCCAGAAATAGGTCCAATCTCATCAACACATTTCAACCTATCTTGCTAGCCATCGTGGTAACACCAAATGTGTGAACAGAACTGGTTAGCACCAGAGCCTTAATTGCTGCAGAAATTATCCCGTCAAAGTAAGGTTATTGGTCTCCAAGCCATGTGTAACCTACTGTCTGCTTAGTATTATGTGAATCGTTTACACTAATCACGTTCCGACACGAAGAAAACAAATCGAATTAATGAAATTTCAGGATTATCTGTCTTATATAGATACAAATTATGCTTATCTTGGCTTGGAAAAATCAACATGTTCCCCCTCCTATATCTGTAGTCTTAACTTCCCTCAGTCGGTGTAAAGAGAGGTTATGAAAACATGCTTAAAGCCCCCCCCCCCTCCCCAACAAAACAAAAAAAACCCACACAAAAAAACAAATAGTGAGCGAACATAATAACGACTTATTATAGAATCCGAACATGATTTCTATCGTGATACATTGTATTATTAAAGGCTGCAAGTCCACTCCAAAAATAATTTGCTTTTAACAGAGGCAGAAAAACAAGAGAAACAGAGCAAAGCAAATTTGAGTAAAATCGGGTAACTAATAGATTTTTTTTTTTTAAGTATGACAAACTATGGAACTTAGAAAATCATTACACAAATTGTAAATTTGGTTATCAGTTTGTGACGTCATTTCCTCACTATCGCCTCACGATTTGTATTTAAATAGTTTATAAAAAATCACATTTTCCATGATTTAACTGGAAAAATACTCTATATTAGTGCATCCACAAAAAACATATTACTATCAATATAACTTGGATGCTGGTGTGAGAAAATAAGATTTTTAAGGGGAAATTTCTGAGTTTATATTATCAATATAGAAGAAAGTGGATAGTGAGGCAATGATGTCACACACTCCTGATTGAGTTGCCAATTTGTCTTGTGATTGTCATTAAAAATTCACAACTTTCTTATTAGTTATCCGATTTTGCTCACACCTTTTTCGATTGGTTTGTCTGATTTGTCTGCTTCTATTGAAAGTAAGTTATTTTTGGAGTGGACTTGCCCTTTAAGTGAGTCTGACAAATCAAATTTCATAGGTGCTAATATTTCTTACACCATTAAAGAATTGTCTATGACTTTCATGGTCATAAAACGTGAAAATGGTGTATTATGCTGAACATGTACGGCATGATCGAGTAAAATTGAACGGACTCATCAATAATTGTGACGTATATCATGGGAATAGGGAGGGGGCGTGACCCAAAAACACTGAACCTGCCCCACCACCTAAACACTCTCCTGAACGATTGTCAAGATCCCTGTGACCTACGCTCTGACCTTACAAGTCAGATTATGGAAACAGACTCTCGAGTTCCTTCCATGCAGAGTCATTATCCATCAAGAGTTTGTCCCCCAAAACGCGAATCTCGAACGGTAACTGTAATGAAAACCCTTCTGGCGGTGTTAGCAGACACCCGCATAGCCATGGGCACAAGGGGACCAAGGGCCAGGACCTTAACCCTTCTCCTACCCCTTTTGTGTGTCATATCTCCCCCCCCCCCCGTATTACAATTCTGAGTCTGACACAGTGGCAGACAAAACAACTCGATAACGACCGATGTCATAATCGACAACATTGTGGATGAAACAACATCTTTATCTTCAAAATAGGTGTTCACCGGGAAACGTCTGGAGTTTGCCCCCCTTTTTTACTTCAAGAATAGAATATTTCGTCATCGTTGGGTGGTTGTAAAATAAACACGCACGCTCCGAGAGGATCATATATCTTTTGTATTTACAAGCTCCAGCACCATAACGCGGAACCCTAATCGGCGAGTGCTGTATATTTGACTAGCAGATTTCATACAGTTCGTTCTGTTACACGAGGTTTTCCGGCTACTATACCCGATGTCTGGCGTATAGCACTAACTCTTGATGTTATACAGCGGTGGATAATTTTGTCAAATTCATGTCATATTTTGCGATCCAGTCATCCTTCTTGGAACCCAGATTGTTTTGCTCTGCGATCAAACAAGTTAAACTTGTCCACGAAGTTGAAGTTGCTTCCATAACACTGCTTGATGTTTCAAGATACAATAGGCCTACCATTATTTTAAACGTCATCAGTTTTTGATAACACCGGGGAATTTCTAGAGCCATATTCTGGGAATTTCATTATATGAAATAATTCTTAACATTTTAACCCCTGGAAAACATCATCGGAACATACAGCTTGACAAAGAAACTTTTTAAAGTATTCATTCATTCGCGCCTTTGGACTGATCAGAGTTAGTCTCATTATACTGGAACAGAAGTCAGAGGTGAATATGGCAAGGATTCTTTCATTGTATGCTCTGATCGTCGTCGTCATCATGAAGTCGACGGCATCGACGGCAGCGACAACGACAGCTGAAGGGACCACTGAATTAGAAACCATCATGATCACAGGTTAGTATGGACACATTATTATACATGATAGTAATATATTCGATTAGACATAAAGGTGTACATTAGACAAATAAGTATCATTAATGTTCTCCTATGTTTATTAAATATAATTCATTTCTATTACTATAACTATTACTAATACTTTTACTGTAACTATTACTATCACTTTTATATTGATATTAGTAATACTATTACCATTACTGTTTATGTTAAGATTACTACGATTGCTATAAGTACTACCATGAGCATTATTATCATTACTACTGATATAATTACTTTTAGTCTTTAATATTACTTTCAATATTTGGTCTACGATTACTATACTATATTACTATATTACTGTATTACTATATCAATCGATTACTATATCACTATTTTTATTAACTATTAATAGTACTATTACTGTATTATAAACTGAGTTATTTTACTTTATTCTCTCTCTCTCTCTCTCTCTTAAAGAACTGTATACATGTTAGTTCTACGACAAATTGATTGGTGAATATAACTTTGTCAAGCCCAGGAAAAAGCTATATTCATGATGCATCTTTGAACCTTCTATCTTTCTCTCACCTTTCACCTTCTTTTTTCTTCCGCCCTTTTCATCCCTCTTTCTGTCCCATATATTACTCTTCATCCCCCCTTCTCTCCGCTCCCAATCTCCCCCTTTACACCCCTCTCTCACCTCCGTTTCTCTCTCCCCTCCCCCCTTTGTCTCTCCCACTCTCTATCTTCTCTCTCTCTCTCTCTCACTCTCTCTCTCTCTCTCTCTCTCTCTCACTCACTCACTCACTCACTCTTTCTCTATCCCACTCACTCTCTTAGGATCAAATTTTCCCTTTTTAGGACACTGCACCCTCAATCGGAATTCTGAAAAAATGTCCGTCTAAAACTTTTTATTTATTATATAGATATTCATTATTTTCTTTTTTATGCTCTTAAAAATGTTTTTTACCGTTCCCATGGATGCAGGCAGGAAACATTTTGTATTTCACGTGAATACCAACTTTATGCGATCCCCATTTTGTCGTATGACTTTGTAATACTGTTTGATAATCCTAAACAAAGACTTCCTGCTTACAGTTACTAATCTAAGATTAAGACTAGAACTAAATTACGTCGTAAATATAACTATAGGACAAACTGATTAATATTTGAATATTACTGTATGTATGTATGTATGGGTGTACCATGTGATGTATGCATGTGTGTATGTTGGAGTGTGTGTGTTTTTTCTTCATTTTTTCTTTTTTCTTGTACACCGGAAAGGCCAACATGTTGAAAAACTTCTAAATGTGTGGGCTTATTAATCACATGTGAGACATGGAAACTAAAATAAACCACAAATCAAGGCGGAATATGGACTATGCAGAATAATGTTCATCGGTGATTAAAAAAAAATACATATGGGTCTATTTATTTCATATTCCGTTGCCTTGTTTGGTTAACACGTAATTTTAGATGTATGAAAATGAAAAGCCTAAAATGTCACTTTAGTGCCTGAAACACGCATATTAAACTTCGAAGTGTTCCCACCAAAGATGTTTCACCAAATTTTGTTTATGAATGATATAAAAGATTGATTGGTACTGTCGTTTTTTTTAAGAAAGCCAGCAAGAAATCATATGGTGACCTCCATGACCTAGAATAGTTTCAGCGTATGATTAGACCTACTCCCTAACTGTATTGGATAAGAATCCATGAAAATCCACTTTAGGGGAGTCATAATCTCACCTCATTTTAGTTGAAATGGACGTTTTAAAAAAAATGAATAAAAACGAAAACAAAAAATGAATGGTAGCATTCGTTCTTATAAGTGAAAATCTACCACACTTAGGAGTGGTTTTTACCAGAATTTGGAGTGGGTTAAACTCTTAAAGAAGAGATTTCTGATATGACCACTCCTCAAAATATTATAAGGAAAGACAAGTCATGACATCAGTAAGTCAAATTTGTCTATAGCGACCGCCCAAGGAAAACACAAAAAGGGGTCTTTGTAGACAGGCTCCTTTAGTATTTGTTTCAATGAGAAGCCATTTTCATGTGGTCTTTGGAGACAGGTGGTCCTTGTAGACAGATGGTCACTAAAGCAGATTGCCTTTATTATCTAGCTAGTATCAAAATATGGTTGACCGGTAAAGGATAGTGTTTATTAAGTAATGTTGGTAGCTGGACTTGCTGAATGTTTCATACTTTCTCAGCCCGTTACTTTTTCCGGGTTGGATGTCATTACTTCTTTCTTTTTAAATCAATACAGCAGATGATCAAATTTATAAAAGGTTATAATTCACTGTCAAGCTTAAGGGTTTATGTAATTTCACAGATATATTAAGTGAAGAATAAATGATGAAACAACCGTAGGAGATACAAAAAAATACGAATTTTCGGCTTTAAGCCTTCGTCTATTAAAAAAAATATGTTCAAAGCAAGCGTTTCCTTGTGTTTTCTTCACTTGTCTAGTTTCGTCAACAACCGCAGGACTATTTTTATTGTTTTAATATACATGTATATAATATACATTTAATTCCTAGACGTTTAAAACACCGGAAATACAGCATCATAATAATGATATAGCTTTTCTGCCTTATTTCTGTTATATCTACTTTTTGTTCATTTCTGGCGTTTTTGTAGGATGTTTTATTAGTATGAGAAAGTCAGGTCTTTTTAGGTATATAGGTCCACATTTTTTTCCTTTTCATATAAATTATGTGTTTTGCTCTTAGCTCACATACATTACTTGGCGTTAATGGTTTAAGATCTTCACTAGGCTTGTTTTTGTGGTGAAAAATTAACACTTATTCCAACTGTACAAACACTCATACTGTCCAGAATACAACATAACGCGTGGAAAATCATATAATTACCGCATCATTACGATAAAACCAAACGACTGCGTATCTCTAGCTAATGATTAACCTGTACCATATGTTAAGAACAAACAAAAACCAATTAATATCGAGTATTTTATTAGCGAATATACGCCCGGCGCTCTCACACCATGTCGTAAATTTCCATTTGTATCACAGAATGAACTTAAACTTAGACATTAACCCCCCAAAATCGAAACATTCTTGTATAGTACTTCCATCAGATATGCATGATCATTAGATTAGTAAAATATCGAAGATAAAGAAATTTTGTGCACTAATCATATCACTATTTTAGTGAACATGATTCGGGAGCAGTAAAGCCACATATCATGTTCCCAATCCATCGACTGTTTAATAGTCATTAGTTTTAACGTACTTGTTTTATGCCGTATCCGGACACCTACCCCCTGGACATCCACCCCCGGCTAACCACCCCAGTCAACTACCCCCTAGGGCAACCATCATCTAGGACGACTACCCCCGGGACATCTACCCCCCGGACAACTACCCCCAAGACAACTACCCCCGCCCTCTGACAACTACCCCCTAGGATAGTTGTAGGGGGTAGTTGTCCAAGAGGATGATTGTCGTAGGGGGTAGTTGTCCGGGGGGTAGTCGTCCTAGAGGGCGGTTGCCCTAGGGGGTAATTGTCCTAGAACCGTTTTATGCGGTCTGTTGTCGGTCTCGTTGATTTGACTGAGATATATCCATGCGCACACTGTTTCTTGTTCTTCAGGAGATCAGGAGCGGGTCTAAAAGAGAACTTTTTTGTGGGGGGGGGGGGAGGGGGGAACAGGGATTTCATTCATTTTCTAAATTACTTGTGCCTCGCTTAAATTCATTAATTATCAAGTTTTATTTTTTTCTTGAGCCCTGTACTATGACTTATATTTCCTCACTTTAAAACTTAAAAGAAAATGTTATGTTACTGCAAAATAGGGGCAAGATTTGATACGCTTTATTATCATTACACAAAATAGTCTGTAAGGAATACCATGGTCGTATCCTTTTTTTTCTTTAGGCAAGCTGATGCCCGGTGCAGCAAAAATTCCGTGTGAATCTGTATAGTTCTTTCACCTTAGGTATTTCGGCTTTGGTTGTTTAGTGATTATTATTAGGGTTTTACCCTATATTCTCCTTTTGAATGACCTCAGGCCCGCTCAATATTATACATTCCAAAGATTTTGTTGACGCAAGATAGTATCTATCTTTATAATGTTCTATCGTTATCTTAAATGGTAATATTCATTTATTTCAACGCCCAAAGTCAAATATGTATTTATTCTTCGACTGATTTATAATCATAGAACAAACAATTGCCCCGGAAAGAGCAGCATCTCTTATGAAAGTAGACTTTGCCTCATGAGATGAAGACGTAAAAACAACGATATAGTTATCCAAATGATATATAATTAATTTGTAGTCCACATATTTGCCGAGGTGTGGTCATGTGATTACATAGTGAAAGAAGTTGTCTTGAACCAAGTTGGAAAGGGAAGTTTCATAGGTGTAAATGAAATGCTATGATGTTCCCCGTTATCATATTTCGACATCAATGTCGACCAATAATATGCTATCAATTAGGCTTTAAAACTGTTTCACTTGCTGTATCGCCGGGGGAAGGGACACACATTCTAAGCAAATATTTTGTCGGCACTTCAGGAGAACAAATATTTGAGTAAAATATAATGTTACTAAAAAGATATATGTGTCATGGTCAACGTATTTGCGTGTGTGTGTGTGTGTGTGTGTTATGGAGAGAAGGTGAGTGGGGGAGAGCTAGGGGGATGAAATAATAGCTGAACGTATGAACTTAAATATCTATCAGCTTAATATATTCACAAAGGTATGATCCAACTCCCATTCCTTCAGTATGGTCATTGCTGTTTTTGTCGTTATTCTTTATTGTCACATTCTTTTTTTATTGAATATGACAACAGAAAGCATGTAGAATTCAAGTATTCAAGCCTAGGCGACTGTCTGAATACGAAGGATAGTACAATGCGGAAAATAATATACTTTATTATACATTTAAAACAAATGATTATTGTTATTATTATTATTAGTGTTATTATTATTATTATTTAAAAAAAAAATGTTATTGCTATTATCATTTTCATTATCATTTTCTTAAGTAATAGTAGTATTAGTAGTAGAACTAGTGGTATTGATTAATTCATTAATTATTTTGCATCAATTATCATTAATAATAATGGTTTACTGGAAAGGAAAATAAAATATTTTGTGGGAGCTTTAAAAATTAACTCCTCGTTAATCGGGGGGGGGGGGGGCGGGAGGGGGGGGGGGGCGAGGGGAGGGGGTAGTGAGCACCATTTGTTTGTGTTTTTCCCCCCGGAAATTTGAAAATCGCTGTTTAAATCCATATAATTATTTGTCATCATAATTATTATTATAAAGTGTACTAAAGCTTTACTTTTTACGCGACAGGGCCTACGACAGGACCCACGGCGGATTCTACGACTGAGCCGCCTCAGACGGGGCTTTCGACAGGGCTTATGACAGGGCCTACGACGGCAACTATGGGAGATTCTACGACAGAGCCGCTTCAGACAGGGCTTACGACATGGTTTACGACAGGGCCTACGACGGTAACTATGGGAGATTCTACGACAGAGCCGCTTCAGACAGGGTTTACGACAGGGCCTACGACGGTACCTATGACGGATCCTACGACGGAGCTGCCTCAGACAGGGCATACGACAGGGCTTATGACAGGGCCAACGACGGCACCTATGACGAATCCTACGACGGAGCCGCCTCAGACAGGGCATACGACAGGGCTTATGACAGGGCCTACGACGGCACCTATGACGGATCCTACGACGGAGCCGCCTCAGACAGGGCATACGACAGGGCTTATGACAGGGCCTACGACGGCACCTATGACGGATCCTACGACGGAGCCGCCTCAGACAGGGCATACGACAGGGCTTATGACAGGGCCTACGACGGCACCTATGACGGATCCTACGACGGAGCCGCCTCAGACAGGGCATACGACAGGGCTTATGACAGGGCCTACGACGGCACCTATGACGGATCCTACGACGGAGCCGCCTCAGACGGGGCTTTCGACAGGGCCTACGACGGGAATGACGACAGATTCTAGGGAGGGTTCTTCGACGGATACTACGACGGAACCTAAGACGGAACCTAAGACGGAACCTCAGACGGAACCTAAGACGGAACCTAAGACGGAACCTCAGACGGAACCTAAGACGGAACCTAAGACGGAATCTCAGACGGAACCTAAGACGGAACAACCCAGAGTTGGCCCGGTCCCAGAACCAACATTGCCTGACTTAGGTAAGTTAACTCACATGCCCAACGTAATCAATCCAGCAAGATAGGAATTGAATCCAGAACAGTTTTACGCGTTAATTCCCCTAAAATTATTACAGTGACATCAATAGAACCGACGAACTAACGTATAGAGAATAACATATCGCGAATGAAGCATATTTTAACGCAACTAGGTTATATAAAAGAAAAAATTCGTTCAAAAGTTAATCCTGTCATTAGAAGTTATATTTTATTGCATTCATTTTGCCAAATAAGCAACTAAAAATTCAAGTTAATTTTGTCACAGTCGAAATAGTGTATTCCATTTATTTTCCAAAAGAAATATTATTAGTTATGTGGAAGTGAAAAATTTGAACTTACGGTAAAGGGTTATACGCCGAGTTGGAGAGATAGCTTATGTTTTAATGTCAATGTATTTACAATTGCCACTCCAGATCATATTTTGACATGGACAAGAAATTCTCTTTTTACCGGAAATATTTACTTCCACTGCAATCAATCTCTTTCTTTTTTGAGAGACAGATAATACATAAGAGGTATATTAATTTCATGTTCAATATTGCAAGAATAATCTGAATTTTGAGGTGAAATTATGAGTAGTGGACTGGCAAAAACCTGCAGAAGCTGATTCTGTTCATTCAAACCCAGTCTCTGTTGCACCTCTATAATGAATGTATTCATAAGTTTCCTCTTTTTGTTTTCATATGCATTTTAGATGAAGATTCCGCTAAAACTTATCAATTCGAATTCGCTGTAGACGAGGACACAACGAAAGGTTGTAGGAGCGATAACTTGTCTTCTCCAGCTTGTGATGCATTCACGTATAATGTGACACAGGAGGTAAGGGCAGTCACTGTACTTATTACAAATGTACTACTATCATTATTACTACTACTAGTACTGTTACTTTTACTCTAGTCCTAAATTATGGAATGGCCTTCCTGAAGACATCAAAAAATGTTTATCCTCTGATTCTTTCAAAACTCATCTCAAAACATTCCTTTTCAAGTCTTGATCGTTTTTCCTGTTTACACGCGCCTTGAGCACTCCACAGAGTGGATTTGGCGCGATATAAGTTACATTATTATTATTATTATTATTATTATTATTATTATATTTATTATAACAATAATAATAATGATAATAATAATAATAATAAGAATAATAATAATGATGATAATAATAATAATGATAATAATGATATTGACAATAATGATAATAATGATAATTATAATAATTATAGTAATAATAATAATAATAATAACAATATTAACAATAATAACAATATTAACAATAATAACAATATTAATGATTATAATAATATAGATATAATGACTTCTATGAGAGGAATAGTTGTTTAATAGGCTCAAGGGGATGTTGCATCTTGCTATCACCCGCACAAGGGGTGATAGCAAGATTCAACATCCCCGAGAGCCCATAAAACAACTATTCCTCGAATATTAAAGCAGTCAAATAATACAAGTGCGACTTACCAATCATGGTTATCAAGTTTGTCTACACTATCGAGGTCTGTGTTGATAACTTGCAGGTATACCAAGTCTTCAAATATTTTTAGAGAGAATTTCACGGGTCTTTTGGTGTTCTTGCTGTCTGCAGAATTAATCAATTCTTGTAATTGATCATCATCAAGAAGTTCAAAGCTATAAAAAAAAAAAAAAAAAAAAAAAAAAAGAAGTTCAAAGCTAGGAAGAGTCTCTTCAGCCATTTTTTTGTTTACCTTCTTTGGACTTAAAATAAAGTAGAAACTAAAAAATCGGAGTTTACATGTACTATGTAGGCCTACAATCGAGATAAAATGTAGCGACCAAATTAATCGCACAAAAACTGTATGGTAGCGGCGCTGCGCACAAACTAAGATCGCAACTACTATCCTGGTACCCGGAATCTTGCGGGAATATCACTCATGAACTATTGACCATTACTGGCATTGTTCGTCTCTTTACGGAAGAATGGCTAAAATCACGACTGCAATTTCAACCAATCAGATGGCTAGATTTCTAAAGAGAGGTATATAATAATAATTATATACCTCACTTAAGAAATCCAGCCATCTGATTGGTCGAATTGCATTCATAAACTTCAACTGTTCCTGTAAAATTCTCGGTAACCATGCTTAAAACATTTCAATATTTTTAATAACCATGGTTATTAAAAATAGTTGGTCAGCCTCCATGGTTACCCCATAGGTTTACATGTTAAAAAATGGTTTGAGCGATGGAGGATGCCGTATGTGTGCGAAGGATTGGTCGGTAATTTCAATACAATTGAATCTCGATCGATCTTACCGACAATTTTATCTTGCATTGTTGACATGAAGACGAAAATAAACTTCCAAAAACAAAAAAACAACATCTGCCGATAGATCTTGATCTAAGTTCGTGCCAATATGCATTGCAAAAGTAAAAGAAGAGTCCGTATATGGAGCTTTGCGAAGCATTCATCACACGCAAAGCCGGTTTCAATCCATTTTAATGTATATATTGGAGAAAACTGCCAAGCATGTTAACGGCGGGCCATAGCCGAGTGGTCTAAGCGTTGGTTTTCGGTACACCTCTTGTTGTACGCAAGAGTTCGAATCCCGTCTTCGACAAAAATGATAAATATTTTTAATTTTTCATTTTTTAGTCTATTTTTTTTCGGCATATAAAAGTATTAATGACTGCTTTAATATTCGAAAAATAGTTGTTTTCATACGCTCTCGGGAAGGTTACAATTGGGCTATTCCCCTCGGCAAGCCTCGGGGAATAGCACAATTCTAACCTTCCCTTGAGCGTAATAAAACAACTATTTCTCTCAAAGCAGTCATTAATACTATACTATAACCATGGGAATAATAACTATGATAATAATGAAAATAATAATAATAAAGATAATAACTATAACAATAATAACGGGTTCTTGTATAGCGCTCATGTCTCTCAGACTTGACACTCTTGGCGCTCCACGATAAGCAACGAAAGATGATGACATGTTGAACGCCAACCAAATTTCGAACTATAAATGAATGCAACTAATATGAAGTAAAGTATATAACTATAGTGAGACATATTGTGTATTTCTACTGCATCTGTAGATTAAGTTATTCGAAATGCGTGTTGGGCCAAATTGTGCAGTGTTTTTTTTATCTACACTTTGTACAAATGAAAGTCATTAGTTTCTTAGCATAAAACTGTACGGACGATCAAAACATGTTACAATATTGCTAGTGACACTGTTTGCATACAAAGATTACTTTCACATGCTTAATGCTCCTGATATCTCATGCCGTGATCTTACCAAAAAGGTTCGAATATCTGTTGCAAGATAGTAACGAAATCCTAGGGATGATGTTGCTGTACATGATATATAATTTATTTAATCTAGACTTTAGGCCTGGGCATTACAAAATTGTACTATCGGTAGAGTCTCCCTTTATATCGTACAATCTCTCAAGAGTTTTGACATACTTTAGTAATATTGATAAAACTTTCCTCCGTTTTCCAACCTCAATTTTTTACGTCTGTGTATGTTTATTTAGCTGAAAACTGTGTATGGAGAGAGTGATGCCTTCGAGTCTGTTGAGGTTGTTTTAAGGTAAGGTTTACTTCATTTCTCCATTACAATAAATACCTCAGAGTTCCGCGGACTGTTTGATCATAAATGTTTTGAATTAGTTAAAACCATTCAAAAGCTCTGAAATCGCTGTAATTGATTGGCTGTGAGCAGTTAAAAAAAAAAGAGGTTTGGCAGCTGTTATATTTCAGTTTCAATTTGAATTTCAATCACGATTCCTATTCGAATTCTAATTTCAATTCCGTTATAATAATTGTGGAAATAGTTAGTGAGTAGATTTTTAGATAGACTTATAAATATCAGGAAAAACAAGGTCAGAGAGACATTGAATAAAAATATAAAATAAGAGGTCCCATCTCGACTAAAAACATTTACTCAATTAAATCTGAAATACAAGTGGAAAATCATAATGACTGTTGTCGCTCATAATCAACGTTACCTTCTTCACTATGTTTTTTGATGAGTTTTCAACTCTTGTTTACTTTTTTTCTTCACATTTGTCGTTTTCCATCACAATCCTCTTGGTCTTTTTGTTTTACATTCCTGCATTTTTCTTTCTCAACACTAGAACCATAACTTTACTATTATTCTTTTGCCTCTTCAGGCAAGTATTTTTTTTGGTACCCAATACGAAGTTTATGTTGATTTTTTTCTTCCATTATCACGTCATATACTTTACTGTGAGGTACCGATGCTTTTTCCCCTTTCCTGTCCTTCATAATTCATTCCAATTTTGTTTGTCAATTTGCTCATTGATAATTATCATGGTTATCATGTACTTTATTCCAATTTTGTTTGTCCATTTCTTCCGATTGATAATTATCATTAACGGATAAGCATAAATTAAAGATTAAAGATACTTTGTGTCGTTGTATGTTTGTATATGTATGCAAAGCACTAACTGGAAAGGCCAACCTCTATTCAAGAACTACTTTAATTTTTGGCTAAATGAGATTAATGAATAAAGAAGAAAATAAAAGATACCGCGATTTTACAAACGTCGTGATTTACGGTTGTAGGATATTGGGCATAGTTGCTAGCAACTTGCATCATAAAAAGTCGCGGTGATAATAAAATCTTCCAGTTTTGGGCTGTAGTGTAAATCGGGTCCATATTTTCTTTACCTCATTGTCTCTTTTAGAGAAGGCAGCGTAATCGTAGGCCACACCGTGACTTATTCGTATAACAAAATGACGGACGTACAAAGAATGGCCTCTGCTCAAGACATCTACGACGAAACCCTGGGCTCGGCGGTGGCCGACGGGAATCTCGGAGATTATACAGTTCAAAAGGATTGTGGGAAATGTGCTTCTCCTGAAGGTTTGTTTGTTATCGACTTGAATTGAATTGACATGACTTGAATTGAATGGAATTGAATGAAACTGAATGGGATTGAATGGAATTGAATTGCATTGAACTGAACTGAAATGAACTGAACTGATCTGAATTGAATTGAATTGAATTGAAGTTAACTGAGCTGAACTGAACTGAACTAAAGTGAATTGAATTGAATTGAACTGAATTGAATTGAATTGAATTGAAATGAATAGAGTTGAATCGAAAGTGAAGTTACTAATTTCAAAATCCACACGGCAATTCAAGGGTGAATTGCACGGAGTAACCGGAGTTTACATAGTTACTTAGTAAAATCACAAAGAGAAAATATCTTACAAATCTATACATACATGTACGTCATGGTCAAACCGTAACGTAAAGGAGAGAAACAGATATAGAGGAAGAGAGAGAGACAAGACAGAAAAGAGGGAAAACGAAACAGCGAGATAGAGGCAGAGGTGTGACAGTCGAGAGGAAGAAGGGATTGTTAATTACATAATAAGTGAGTGAATGGAATTAAATGATCATCTGTAATGTCACTAATGTCATGAAAATGCAGTATGGTCCAAGATCTTAATCATTAGTTATGAAGGTCGTAATGCTGTATTATGCATATCTTACCACTCTCATCCCTCTCATCTCGTCTCTCTTATCTTTTCCATTCCTCCATCTCTTTTTCTTTCCATTTTGATCATTCACATCGTAATCTTCTCCGTTGCTGTACTCCTCTAGTACACTATCCTTGTTTCACCTCTCTCACTCTCCTCCCCCTCCCATTTCCAATTTTACTTCTGCTCTTATTCAATTCTTACTCTCAACAACTTTATCTCATTATACCATTTCCTTGTTCTATATTTCTTTAATCTCCGCTCCTATTACTTTTGCTTCTCTCTATTTTAAGCTATTTGCTATATTTTCTGGTTTCCTCGTCGATTTAATGTATTCCACTGGGCTTTTTTTGTCTCTAACTACATACGGTGTGTTTTGTATTTCCCGTTTCCTTTGTCATGCACATGTGTTGCTATGGTAAATACTTATATTTACGTCTTATATGGGTGTGTGTGGGTGCGTGCGTGTGTGTGGGTGTGTGTATGCTTTAAAAAATGCTTTTAAAAAAGCGTGTATTTGTGTGTTATATGTAATCCTCATGTGTGATATTATGTTAATGGATGTTTATTTGACACTATTGTATTTTATGGAAATGGCCAGAGAATGATTGTTATTCCTATTGTACTTTTAGTTTTGAGCTTGACCAATAAACTGATTTGAATTGAATTATATTGAATGGAATAATTATTAAATATCCCGACAGCTAGGGTGAATTAGGTTAAGGTAATGTACTCTCAAAAAGATTGTAACTTCTGTTGAGGGGCATGTGGGAGGTACATGGAACATTATTATCTCTATATGATGTTTTTCTTTCTTTTGCGAGGGGCGGCCCCTTCTACCCCATTAGATCCGCTTTGAAATTCTGTAGTTCAAATTGGTATAAATGTTGTCTTTTTCTTTTTTCAGAAACGACCGACATTCTTAGTGAGGCTGTAATTGAGTGTGAGTCAGAATACTCCAAAGCAACTTATAAACCTTACTACTGGGTTTGTGAATCGATTTGCGTCTCCGAAAGCGACTACTGCAATAGTCATGGTATCTGTTGGCAAAGGGACGATATAGACACGCAGCCAATTTGCAGGTTTGTAGATGAATCCAAGGTTTGCAACGATAAAAAGACTGAGATACCAAGCTAGATTGTTATGAGTTGTTATCTATTACATGTACTCAATAGTGGTTAGAGGGGTACTCAAGTCCCCCCCCCAAAAAAAAAATAAAAAAAAATAGGGGATCTTACAAGCTCCCCCATAGATACGAGAAGATCATTTTGCAATAGCAGAGGTGAGTGATAAAGAGTACGAACAATATAATTTAATTTCGTTTATTTTTCAGTTCTGAATACAAAATAAAGTCAGTATAAATTAAAACATAAGAAATATAAGAAATATGAACATATTTTAAACAGAACTGGCTAGGACTTTAAGATAAGCATAGATTGATGCCTTGTGAGCCCTGATAATTAAGTACATGTACAAGCAAACTACATACATTAGGGTGTACCTATATGGGGCATCTCGTTTAGTATACATGTATAGTTAGGCAAGAAATACTGTTTGTCCATTTGCAATGTGAGAGGCTTTTATGTTGTTTCCCTGCATTCACCAGAACAACCCATGCTCATGTGTCTTTGAAACACGATTCTCACCTATAAATAGGGAAAGCCAATCGTCTGATGTACGATTTTTGTTCTTTCTCAATAGTAAATGAATTCTAGAAATATTTGATAATAAAAAATAAAAAAATAGTGACAATAATAATAATGATAATAATCATCAACACCATCGTCATAATGATGATGATAATGGTAATGAAGATTAATGATAATAATTTTTAATAATACTTTTGAATAATAATAACAATATATCAATAATGATAATGATGATAGTCAAAATCGTATGCTTCTTTTTTCTCTAGCAACATAATATCTAAAATATTTTCACTTTGTTTTTCAGCTGTGATTGGGAGAATGGCGTATGGTATTGGGGGTACAGGTGCCAGTATTACATGAACCAAACGTACCTGATCATTGGATGCTCGTGTGGGGCCGCTGTACTGCTCGTGCTTCTTGTGTGTCTTATTGCCTGTTGTGTTGTGAAATCAAAGGCAGTACCTGACAAGTAATTATGAATTTGATTTTATATTTGGGCCTTGATTTCTCATTTAAGGTACACTGTATAAGAGAGAGAGAGAGAGAGAGAGAATGGGATAAATAGAGGGATAGAGAGGGAGAGATGGAGAGAGAGAGAGAGAAAGAAGAGAATGTTCGGCACTTCCATTGTGCAATAGCCTTTAATTCGTGACACCGGACTTGATGGGAATACCATTAATAAATGTACAAGTCTCGTACACAGCGAATTGGATGTTTGAGGGGAAGTTATGATGATGACTTTCCTGGGGCGATTGGTGAAAAGGGCAGATCATTACTTAAAGAACTGTTGGTGGTAGAAGTAAAGCCACTCCCTGTGATGGATAAAATTCTCCTGAATTATTTGAATGTTGTCATATACCCCCCCCCCCCCCCCCCAAAAAAAAAAAAAAAAAAAAAAAAAAAAAAAAAAAAAAAAAAAAAAAAACATGCTTACGTGTCTTTAAAACGCCATTTTTATCAGCTGAATCCCCGAATGGTGTCATATTCCCCACGGGAACTCATGAGTATGTGTCTTTAAAATGCTATTTTCATCAGCTGAATACTCGAGTGATGTCAAATACACGTTGACAACCCATGCTCATGTGTCTTTGAAACACGATATCACCTTTAAATAGGGACACCCAAGAGTCTGATGACGTCATCAATGCCTTTCAAAATTTTGCTTACGATCACGCCGCCGAGACCGTCGTCTTCCCCCCTATCGACGACAACAACATCGATGATGGTGATATCTTGCAGCGAAGCCGACCCTATTCATATATCTACAACAAAGGAGAAGGCAATGCCAACGTAGGGTCGTCCAGCTTTATCGGAAATCAAAATGGCGGCGCTCAGAGGGTAAGTCAAATTAGTGGCGTAATGGGTGTCCACAGGGGCGGTCGAGCGACTTCCAAAGTGGGGGGGCACCAACAAAAAAGGGCACTTTCTGAAGAAAAAAGGGCACCTACAGTGGGAATCTCAAAGCGAAAATATACAATTTTTTTGACATTGGTACATACCCCTGCATTGTGATTACATTATCAGGGATGATTTCAATATTTGTTTCTCTTCATACATCATACAAGATATCGCTTAAGCATCATACTTTACAGTTGGGTGGGATGTCTGAATATGCATTTACGAGCTAGCGAAGCGAGCGAGAAAATTTTTAAAGATCTGCGAGGTCGCAGTGCGAAAAATTACATCTTATAAAGAGGAAAAAAACCAATCGTGATGGGGTTATAAGCACATTCTCATAACGGAAGACTGAAAAGACCTTTGATAACTTACATAATTATATCATCTTTAAATGTGAGCCAGCGCAGCGAGCGAACTTTGGGGGAAATTGCTCTTAGTCGCTTTAAATAAGGGGCATGTTTAATGATTTCATGAAAAGGGGACAATTATCGAAAGGGATAAGACACTCATAAAAAAAACAGAAAAGGAGCACGTGTCAAAGTACAAAGGATAATTATAAGAGGTGAACATGAGGCATTTTTTTCACCTGAAAAGAGGCACTCACCTGATGAAAAAGAGGCGTTTACGAAAATGGGAAATAGGCATTTGTTGACGGAAAAAGGGCACCCATCAGATTTTGATAGGGGCACTTATAAGAGGTGAAAAGAGGCACTGACCAGATATGAAAAGGGGCACTTATGAAAATGTAAAAGGGGCACTTATAATAAAGGAAAATGTGCATTTGTTGAATGAAAAGGGGGCACCGTTCAAATTTAAAAAAAAGGGCCGTTATGAGAAGGGGAGGGAGCTTTTTCTTTTTAATGGGTGCACTTATCATAAGGAAAAGGGGCACTTATAAGAAAGGGAAAGCGGTAGTTATGAGAAGGGGAAGGAGCTCTCTCTTTTTAATGGGGGCACTTATCATAAGGAAAAGGGGCACTTATTAGAAAGGGAAAGCGGTAGTTATGAGAAGGGGAAGGAGCTCTCTCTTTTTAATGGTGGCACTTATCATAAGGAAAAGGGGCACTTATTAGAAAATAAAAGGGGCACATGTTAAAATTAAAGGTGTGCTCATCCGAGTTTAAAAAAGGGGTAGTTATTAAAAGGAGAAGGGGCACTTCTTACAAAGGAAAAAAGGGGCAGTTGTCAAAGTACAGGAGCACCTCTCAGTTTTGAATAGGGCAATTATCAGAGGTGAAGGGGGCACTTATCAAAAGTGAAAAGGGGCACTTCTCGTACCTGAAAAGAGGCACTTACTAGAGATTAAAAAGGGCACTTATTAAAGATAATTTCAAGATTGATGAGAATGGAAAATGGACACTTATTGCAAAGGAAAATGGGAACGTGTCGAAGGAAAAGGGGCACGTGTCAAAATAAAAGGGCACTCGTCAGAGGTGAAAAGGGGGGAAGGGGCACTTTTATTTAGTAATAGGGGCACTTGTCAAAGTAAAAGGGGCACTTTTCCTATGTAAAAAGGGGCACTTTTGGGGTATCTGAAAAAGTGGGGGGCACTGTGCCCCCCCTGCCCCCCCGGGAGAACCGCCTCTGGGTGTCCACCCATTAAGGGGGCTCTGGAACGTTGGGGTCGCCGTTTTTACTCGGAAAATAGTCCTTCTTTGTATCCTCAATCTCCTTCTCTTCCTTTTTGTTCTCATTGTCCTCTTCTTTTTCTTCTCTTTCTCCTTCTTCTTCTTCTTCACCTTCTCCTCCTCCTTCTTCTTCTTCTTCTTCTTCTTCTCCTCCTCCTCCTCCTCCTTCTTCTTCTTCTTCTTCTTCTTCTTCTTCTTCTTCTTCTTTTTCTTCTTTTCTTTTTCCGTCAAATCAAATGATTTCACTCATGTTTGTGGCTCAAGTCAATTTTCTTTTTATTTGTGATGTAATGACAGGAGAGCCGACCGGAAGTGAACGAGGACGCCGCCAAGCGACAATCGAACGGTAGTGCGGATAACAGGCATTCTTCGTTAATGACGCCCAACGGTAGCTCTCAGCAGAGAAACCCAGACTTCTGGGGCAATCTCAATGAGCCGTCCGCTGAACATATCAAGCTTGAGCCATTTCTTGATCATTATGATGATAACGATAGTGTAAGAACTGATTTGTATTTTAAATCATTAAAAGATAGGGCTGTATATTGTGGGTTTAGGGTTAAACTTTCTCTGTAACTGACATTCATCTTTCAGTTCAACTTTTTTTCTTTTCGGGGGGGGGGGGGGGTCGTTTTATCAGCCAATGGTTGTTTTTAGAAAGTGTTTTTATTTGATCAATAAAAACATTATACATACGTCACAAACTATTTTTTTTTAAAACATGGCTAAAGAAAAGGAAATTACAAAGATGAAAGTGATATCAATTAACTAACAAATCTCAATAACTCAGCTTTACAACTATTAACAAGAACCCCAAATGCTTGACTCTCAGTGAATCAACTCGATTAAATTTCAACTTGTGTTTATGAATTGACTCCTCTCTGTATCATTTTGATAGCAACATTATTATTTCCATGATTTCCTTTTAACTGGTCGGATTATAAATGCTCACGTTCGCATTATCATCATTACTCTTAAAAAGTATATCATTTTGCCGGATATAATTCATAATTTGGTTGACTTTGTTAACGTTCGTCTCTATGGCGCCAAAAGGGCTTTAAACTTGATGTCAAATTATATTACTTAACATCCTTCTGGCTCCAAACAGAATGATCTAACTGAACAATACACTTTTTCTTTTGGTCACAGTTCAAGATTCAGCGACCTCGTATTAGTGCGCACTACGACTATTCCAACAACCCTGCTGCACCCAATATCTACCAGAGCATGGACCCTGCTCACACTGAGTATATCCCGGTATGATTATAGTCTTATTTCCCGATACAATCTGATTTACAATATTGCATTGAAAAGGTATACATGTTTCCCCGAATGTATACTTTGATATCCACGAAAGTATTGCATATATGCAATACAATATGTAATTGAAATTTCACTTAAGTTTTATTCTTTGAGGTCTTTGCCATTAAGAGGGTCCGGAGAACTTCAGAAAGGTCGGAAATCATTTTCATGACAAGGTAACTGTTTCTTTTCAGATGCCGTTTTTTCGTCATGGGACTTTATTGTTTCTGCTAGTAAAATATACATGCCATTCGTTGTGGAAAGAATTCAACTACGTCGTTATTTTTAAGATAGGCATGTAGTATGATAATTTCTTATGAAATAACCATCATGACAATAATTAATATTTGTTTTTTTTTAAATGTATTTATTATTATTATTTTTTTTTATAGGAAGCCGACTACGCACAAAGATGAACTCGAGTCTAGGCCATATTAAAATAACGCAATACCATACTGGACTCTATCTGTTGCCTGTATCCGGGTAGTGCACCCAAACTGACATTTTCAGAACAAGATTCGCAGCTTTCATTATCCAGTCGTCGGTCGGAGGAGTTCGATCTTTAATGATCGCACATGACGCACACAGCTATACAGTGATCACAACATTTCCTTTTTGATAGCCATATTATGTAACTATTTCATTTTCGTTTATTTGCCAAGAAAAAAATTCTATATCCCCGCGGACGATTTAAGTGCCTGAAATACATCCATGAAATACTACACAGAATAGGCCATATTTGTTATATTTACCTTTGGTAAATAAATTAATGACTTTTTTCTCTTTCTCTCTTTGCATTGTATGTATACGGATCCATAACATGTTGACAATACGATATTAGTTATTACCTATAATGCATGATTCTTTTTAGAAAATATTCATTTGGCGATCTATTTCATATCCAATGGCATTCTAATTTCTGTTAGAGACACCATGCCAGATATGAATAGGGATTGATTTAATTTCAATTCGATAAGCATGTATTATATTTTAAACATTCTTGAATTTGATTATAAGAGTGACGTAATATGACGCTTACCTTGATTTTCTTCTGGGCCTTCGAAGGCCGGGAATGGGGGAGGGGGGGGGGGGTTGTTTGTCAGCTCCATCCTATGCTGTATACGCCACATATGACTTATAAAATTATGATACTCGATTCTGACTCGAAGTACATTTTTCTGTCGTTCCTGATGTCAACAGCAAATATGCATGATGTGAAAAATGGTGTGACAAGGGGGGGGGGGGGGGGAGCAGTCCAAGTGGTTGCGCCGAAAATAATCCTGAATAAGTATTCACATTTCCCAGGAGAATGTGTTTGTACTGTGATGGAAAAGGACATAATATATGCAATGTTCCCTTCTAATATCCGAGTATAGGTTATGTGGGTGTATATAGGGGGCACGTACCCCTCTTCTTTCGGCTAGTACGCCATTGAATGTCAATTTGTTTTGCTTGCATTGTGTAACATGAACGCTGGCTTCGAAATGCCATATTTAAGTAGGTAAGGTTCTATACTAATCGCATTTGTGACAAATCAAAGCTATCTACAATTTACAAGTATGTATACAATGTGGATTAACATTCTGTAACAATGTCTATGATATCATATCAAATGATATACATGTATACTTACATTACTGACTTTGCATGGACAAGCTGCTACGATATATTATACTCAATATAACCATGTTAAATCTCACTGTATCATTATAATATAATTAATGATAAACAGTCATAAAATATAATGTATACTGCAAAAGTGACTTTGTGCCTTTTTACATGCGACGATGTATAGAATGACCAAACGGAATTATATGTAAATATGCATGTATACAAAGTTACCGACCTTATTATATGTGTTTAATATAATTATTTAATGTTACTCATTTTGTATATACACATGTTTTTCTAAAGCATATGTCATGTTTGTAACGAGTAAAAGAGAGGATAACACAACAGACTTATCTGTTTGTATAATATTGACAAGATTGGTTGGCTGATTATTGCCTTTAATTCCTATAAATTGTATAGATAACTGTTATATATTCAGAGATTTCTGAATAAATTATTTTCCATTACAGTACTACTTCATGTCTAGCTGTAGGGGTGAATTTATAGGATTCATTTCAAATTTATAATCATTTGCTGTTTACTTCTGAATAAATCCATGCATAGTTTTCATAAAATTGTACCAGGTATTGTTTTTTGAGTAGTTTTTTATGAATATGGAGGAAATTAATATTATTTAAAGAGAAAGTGCCCATATAAGCAGGGAAAAGAATGAAACAAAGAGATGAACGTTTGAGGAAAAATCTCCCTTTCTAGAGAATTTATTCCAAATTTGACCGTTTACTTATAGTTAGACAAAAGTTCGTTCTATGAATATTGATAGTGATGTCATAATGCACATACTTATACTCATTGGCCTAAAGAAATTGATATGTTGTTGTATATTTATTAGCCGGTGTGTTTAATGACAACCCAACCTTTACAATTCATTAGTATGAAAGCAGAAAAATAAGAGAAACAGACTGGCGAAAGTTTGAAATAAATCAAAATGGGTCCAATAATTAGATAATTATGAATGCTTAGAATATGAGACCAATAAATGTATGCAGAGCTCAGTGGCGAGAGGTAACCTTGTTTTAACTTGGGGTATTAAAATCATGTATACTAATGCAGTGTAGTCAGACTCTGTCAGAGTAACAAAAAACAACTTACAAATGGGCGTGGGGGGGGGGGCATCATAAGCATAACATTCCACCCCCTATGGTGGCATATATCTGTGGTACTGAACACCTTCTTACCAATTGATATGAACTAACATCACAACATTCATTAAAGTGACAACAGAGACAATGATGGTCAGCCGGAAAAGTAGCAAAGGACGGTAAAGAGATATGAGCAGTGAAGGACAAAAATTAAGGGGGGGGGGGGGGACTTAGAAGTTAGAAAAGCTGCAGAGATATATCATGAGGGAGCTATACTGAGAGTTGTGAGAGGGGTAACAATACAGGACAGCATACTAATGAAATATGACAAACAATTAGTTAGAGTGACAGAGATTAGAGAGAAAAGGGTTATAGAAACATGCTCAAATCATGATGATACGTAAAGCACGGTCAGGAGAGAGTCCGTTTAGTCTAGAACCAGTTCGTCTACTACCCCTATCGGTCTATTCCCATATGGTCTACAGCCGGTCCGTCTACTATCCACATGGTCCAATAATCATTTCGTCTATTATCATTTGGTCTAATCTCCGGCAAGTGTACTGTCCATTTGGTACATTGCTCATTACGTTTACTTTACATTATGTCTACTATCCATATGATCTAATAATCATTTAATCATAGACGGAATGGACATTAGACAAATGGGTTATTAAACTAAATGAACAAATTAATAGACCGAAATGAGAATTAGACTAATTGGAGGTTAGACCGGGAAATTAGACTGAATAACCATTAGCCTAAATTGTCATTAAACCAAATGATAAGTAGATGAAATGATTATGAGACCATGTGGATAGTATAGACAGGCTGGGTGTAGACCATGTGGGAATAGATTAATTGGGTAGTAGACGAACTGGTTGTAGGTCAAACGGCAATCCACCGGAGTCGTGAACTGTATAGAGAAGATGGGTGGTATGGCTAAGAAAGGGTAATATAAAAAAAAATGGTTCACGGGTACATCATGCTATACATTGATGGGGTGGGTAATGGTAAGAAAACACTTTTTCCCGTCCTTGATAAGTTACTATAATAATATTATTTAAGATAAGAGTAGTTTTATGGGCTTACATTCTTGCATGATTAATATTTACTAGTCGGTAATATTCTCCATTCAGATTGGAATGACGAAGACCATAATAAGGGATTTTTTTCTCGACCACCTCCCCCCCCCCCCCCATACATTGAATTAGAAAATAAATAAAATAAAGAGTGAATTCTTGGCCAGTTGATTTGCTAGGTCAGGTAATAGACCATTTTCGTAATAAAACCAAAGTTAATGTATACGTCTTTGTGAAGTGCCTCAAAACAAATATTTCGTTTACCTGTAATGAACAATTGTATTTCAATAGTCAGAATGCAAAACGGATATATTACGGATGTATTACGCGTTATAGGTAGGGCAAGTCATCGGCCCGAATTCACAAAGCAAGGTTTGAGCTCAGACCAAGGTTTGAGCTCAAACCTCCTTTTGTTCTTTACAAACCAGGTTTGTAAAAAACGCGTAAAACGCGTCATATGAAGTACGAAAGCCAAGGTTTGTCGACAAACCTCCTTTGTGAATTCGGGCCATAATGTTTGTCCTCCCTGGCAACAACTATGCCGTTCGCTTCTGACTATTGAAATACAGTTATTCGTAACAGATGAATGAAATAATCCGTATCGAGGCATCGGGCGCGTACGCAGGGGGTGGGGGTTACCCCCTCCCCCCCCCCGCCCCTTCGGGTAAAAAAAACAACAAAAGTGCGCTCCCCCCACCCCCGCTTATTCAGCTGCTGCCTGAGGTGTCGTTGCGAAAATTTTCCTCAAAAACTGGACCCCCCCCAAAAAAAAATTAAAATGTGCTCTTACCCTCCCCCCCCCCCCCCCCACCCGCTTATTCAGCGGCTGGCTGAGTTGTTGTGAAATCGGCGCGATTTTCATATTTTGAAACACCGGAGGCACTTCACAAAGACACTTGTATTAGATTTGGTTACTCAGCGATCTCGTAGCTTTTTTTGTTCATTTAAGCGCCGTCTGTTGATATTAATGTAGCAGACTAGCACTGCACCACACCACAGGAGAGCCGCCCTCACCATCAGAGGGCGGCATACCACTTCAAGGATCCCACCCTAGAGAGGCAAGGAATCTGCCTCTTTTGCACTGAAACCCGAATCGCCAAATGAACAAGATTTATGATACTGGAAAACTAGGCTGAACTACCCTATAGAGATTCCGGTGATTACAATGTACAGCAAGGGATTCAAGTAGATACCTAAATCTACTTGACGTCACAAACATTTAGGACCTCGAAATGCACCGTTTCGAGGGAACTTTGCTGTGTTGTTTTGTAACCTCCAAACAAATCGGGCACCGAGCCTAAATATGACGGATCGGTCCGGTGCGAGATCCGCACGAATAATTGGTTGATAATCTATAATACCAGTTTTCAGTAATCGGAGAACTGGAAAGATCGACGCGCCTTGTTAGCCTTGATCAAAATACTAATTAATAGCGCAAATTTTGTGCTTTATTTCTAGAATCTAAGGCACAATTTTAAGAAGTTGGGCCACATAGAGTCTACTATACGAAATACAAGACTTCAAAATACTTTTGGGCGGGGGGGGGGGGGGGGGGGGGGGGCTTACCCTGTTGTTCCCCCACTCTTAACAACTTTTTTGGGTTTTTTTGTTTGTTGGGGACACGTCCCCCTGCCCCCCTCCTGATTGACGTCCATGATACCTGTAAAGTTTTGGAGTTCGCCCCTTAACAACTTCAAGAATAGAATGTTTCGTCATCGTTGGGTGGTTGTAAAATAAATGCGCATGCTCGAGAGGATCATATATCCTTTGTATCGGCAGGGAGGTGTCAGTCCTCCCTGGTATCGGCAAGCTCCAGCACCAGAACACAGAATCCTAATCGGCGAGTGCTATATATTTTATCAGCAGATTTCGCAGCAGTTCGTTCTTTTGCACGGGCCAGGTTTCCAGGCTACCCGATAGCTACCGTATAAGATAAAAACTGCCAAATATCTGCTAGACGAACAGCCATACATTTCATACCACTTGATGTTATACAGCCGTGGATAATTTTGTCAGATTTGTGTCATATTTTGCGCTCCAGTCATCCTTC